TTTGAACACAAAAACGTCTGTAACTTGTTGAAAAACTCACTATATGGACCATCTCATTTGAAATAGTCAGTGTACTCTAAATTATTCACTGTAGTCTTGATTTTTCTAAATTAAACATGATAGTTGCTTCAATTAGTTAAGCAGTGTTGTTTTTAGCCATATTTCGTAGCCTTTATACGCGATTCAAAGAGGAAAGTAGTGACTACGCTGTTTTTTTATATCCTGTTTAATCGTGTTAACCTTTCCTAGTCATCTACTTTACCACAATAGTATGTTCATGCAAGTAGAGGTGGCTGAACATATGTTGCACATATACCGACTATCACGGGATATGGAAACTCATAATAATAAGAATATGAGTAATAAAGAATTCAGTCTAGTTCTCTTTAGCATATATGCATCCTGCGCCGAATGCCTCGATATAGACATGATAACAGGTCTACATAGAACAAGTGGGATGTTATTATTAATAGAATTTAGGACTTGCGTTTCATCCCGTTCGTTACTCGTCGATTAGATATACCTGCATCCCAGAGTTTATAGCCACTCCAGGATTTCACTCTAGTACCTTTTGTTTCAAATGCTAATGCGTTATCCACTTAGTGAGTGCAGATAACCACTCTCTTTGCAAGTGTTTGATTTGTAAGGGTTTGACTTATCCCATTACATGAGTGGTTATATTGATTCACTGGTATACATCAGATCTCTCATATTCATCAGTCTAGAATTGTGACGATGGCAAAGTGACTAAATTGACGTATGCCTCACTGGCTTTTGCCACAAAAAGATTAACCTTGTCTACCACACTACTGCTCAAACAGGATACAACATAACCAAGTTTACAATATAACTAATTTCTTGTATCACATTGTTGTATCAATAGTTTGTTCTTTAACAATTAGTCAGTAATGCGTGTACTTCTTACTCACCTTAAGCAGGAGTCTAATTATTTATAATTTCACATTTTCAAATATTTTCATCTTTACTTACTTGAAATTGTTATTGTGTGAAATTCGATCGGCTTATTTTGAACCTACGTGAACAAGTCACGTGAAATCATTTAGAGCTGTTTGCTTTGAATGAATTGATTTTTATGCTTATTAACCATACCTGTGCCAAATCGATTGCGTATACTGAGGTAGACATTTCTTCACAAAGGCGTTTGTGTTCGTTAATTCATCAAAAACTTATAATTTCGTATTGATATTTAATAAATGAGTTTATTTAAAACGATCGTTTTTTTTCACAGTTCCCAAAGTTGATTTGGAGTTGATGTGAATTTATTCTAACTCACTAAAATGTTTGAATACATTACAAATAGTACATTCTCTAAATAGGAGCATGACCGTATACTATCTACACTTTATGGGAATTTCAGAAAGTAATTTCAATGACAAATAATTAAGAAATTTTCTTTGTTTGATAATATTCATACCCCACTTATGCCTGTTACCCCCAATGGAGCATAGGCCACCGACCAGTATTCTCCAACCTACTCTGTCCTGGGCGTCCATTTCCAGTTCTGTCCAATTTTCGTTCCTCGACCTTCTTCTTTTCCTTTGACCTTGAGAATTCCAAGCAAGGGCTTGTCTTGTGACGCAGTTGGGCGCTTTCCGCAGTGTATCCTATCCACTTCCACCGCTTCTTCCTGATTTCCTACTCCACTGAAATCTGGTTTGTTCTCTCCCACAGTAGGCTGGTGCTGATAGAGTCTGGCTGACAGATCCGAAGTATTTTGCGTAGACAGCTGTTAATGAATACTTGTATCTCCTGGATGATGGCTTTGGTAGTTCTTCAAGTTTTCTCTCCATGCAGTAGAAATATCTTGACATTTGTATTGAAAATTCTGATTTTGGTGTTTGTTGACAGTTGTTTTGAGTTTCAGATGTTCTTGAATTGTAGAAATACAGCCCTTGCTCTGTCGATCCGCGCCTTCACATCTGCCTCAGATCCACTTTGATCGTCAATGATGCTGCCCAGATATGCAAAGGTCTTTACATCTTCCAAAGCTTCACTGTCAAGTATGATTTAGTTAGTGCATGTATGTTGAGACCTGCTGCTGCTATACTGATCGTCTTCTCTTGCATTTGTTGTTGCGTGTTCGATAGGAAAGCCAGATCATCTGCGAAGTTCAGATCGTCCAGGTGCATCCTAGCTGTCCATTGTCTCCCCTGCTTTCCTCCAGATGTTGATGTCCTCATAATCCAGTCTATCACCAGGAGAAAGAGTGGGAGTAAACAATCTTGTCTGACACCGGTTTTCACTTCCAACGAGTCTGTCAGCTGTCCTCCGTGCACGATATTGCTCTTAAATCCATCATAAGAGTTCTGTATAATGTTGATTATCTTCTCAGGCACGTCATAATGTCAAGGAAGCCTCCATAGTGTTATTCTGTCCACTCTATTAAATGCTTTCTCGTAGTCAATGAAGTTGATGTAGAGTGGTGAAATCCATTCAACTGATTGTTCCACAATGATTCGTAATGTTGCAGTTTGGTCAGTACATAATGTGTCCTTACGGAATTCAGCCTGTTGATTCCGAAATTGGGCATCTACGGAGTATTTCATTTTGTTTCACAACACCTTGTTGAAGACATTTCCTGGTATTGATGGGAGAATGCTGCCTCTGTAGTTCTCACATTTTCTGAGATCGCCTTTGTTTGGTATCTTTATCAGGTGTCTTTCTTTCCAGTGTGATGGTACCTGTCCCTCATTCCTAAATTTTGCTAAAGAGAAAGTGGAATATCTTTACAGTTGATGTTACGTTAGCTTTCAGTGCCTCTGCTGGAATGTTGTTTGGTCCTGTTGCTTTGAAGCTCTTGATTTGCCTGATAGACACGCTGATATCTTCAGTTGTTGGTGGGCCGACATTGATTGGGAGGTCCGCGGGTTCTGCTTCGACGTTTGGTGTGTTCAGTGCGCTGGCCGATTCAGGAGATCCATAAAGTGTTCTGCCCACCAGTTTTGCTGTTCTTCAAAGTCGGTCATCGCCTTGCCCTCCCTTTTCTTGACCGATCATTCTGGTTTACTGTGTTTTCCAGCAAGCTTCTTCATTGTATCGTACAGTTGTTCCATATTTATTCTTGCAGCTGGAATCGATTGCAGAGGGCCATCTTGAATTCATTGAGTTTGCCATTATCCGGAAGAAAGGCCTGAATAAACTTTTGTGACGTCATTCATCCCATCGTCTAGTGTTTTTTGAGTTTCATTTTCATCTTGGTCATCAACAAATGATGATCTGATCAGCACCTCTCTTGGTTCGTCCTTCTGGACTTTTTATTGATGCAGATATGGTCTATTTGGTTCTGTTTGGTGTGATCTGGTGAGATGTATGTGGCGTTGTGTATGCGTTTATTTGGGAATATTGTGCTGCCGATGACCAGTTTGTTGAAGGCACGTAGGTTTTCGAATTTATCACCATTTTCGTTGATTTTTCCCATTCCGTGTCGTCCCATTGTGTCTTCATATCCAGCGTTTGACATTCCAACCTTGGCATTTAGCTATCCCATCAGAATGGTAAAGTCCTTTGTTTGGTATTTCTCGACGATTGACTGAAGCCTCTCGTAGAACTGATCTTCAACGTCTTCACTGTTATCGTTGATAGGCACATAGCATTGGATGACGTTCATTGTAATGCCATCTTTCCTTGTTTTGAAGGATGCTTTGGTGATCCTGTGTCCATGAGATTCCCATCTTATCAGTGCTTGTTGTGCTTATTTGGACAGCATCAGTGCAGCCCCTTGTGCGTATGAGGCATTTTCTTCCTCATGGCCGGAGTATAGCAGCTGCTCTCTTGAAGCTAGTCTTAGTTGTCCAACCTATGTCCAATGTGTTTCACTGATTCCAAGCCCCTCCAGTTTCTATATTTTCATTTCTTTACCATCTTGGAAAGATCTCCCGGTCTCCTACATTTCACGACCATTTCATGTACCTAAAATAATGAATTCTCTGGTTGTCAGAAGGGACATCGTCTTCGTGACTTCCGGAGGAAATCGGCTTTCATCATGAGACGTCATAACTCTTCTGAATGAAGAGCTACTAACTTCTAGGGCAGAGTTTAAATGGTTTGAATTGATTTTTCTGGTTAGCGTTTTATTATCGAGTTAGTTCTCCTTATCTATCCGGGCTCGTGACCGGCAGTAGCCCCTGAGGGGCCCAGACAGAGTTTTAATTATTTATTACTTCATATTATTTTAAATATGATTTAAAATCACTTTAACAAGTGCCTCTTTAAGTGGGTTGATTTATTTTGCAAATCCAGCGCTTATTCAAGGATAAAGTTGCCAACTGATATTGTTTTCCCTAAACTGATAATGTTACCCAGAACAACAATTCAGGAAAAGCTTTTTAGTATAATTCTTGCTTTCTTGATCAAAGACAAATCTGTGAATATCACTGTTGATGATATGATATCTTCCTAATTTTGAAATACAAATAGTATTACTATGGTTGTGATAAAAGTGAGCTTGACTAACCAATAAGAGACAAGAATAGGAGCAAACAAGCCTTATAATTGCTTTTTTCAAATCATAACAATGAGAGTGACATTTTCTTTTCAGTATATTCTCCGTAGAAGTTGACTTTTATTTCGCTCGTTTTTATTTATTTATTAGTAGTAAACGGTTGTATAAATGTTTGAATGAATTAATATGAATTACAGAGTCTATAATTCTAAGTGAGAATGTTTCTTTTTGTCCTTTTATTGGTCTAATCAAACGATTAGCTTCTAAACTGATAATCATTACAGTTTATGACTCAATCTAATCCACTTGTTCTTACATTTTAGATATTCAATGCATTACATTTTTCTTCACGTGGTACTGTTGGCAAACAGCTAGCTAAAGAATTTTTCGAAAATTTCCAATCTCAGTATAATGAGAATCTGTATCCTAAAACTGATACGACCATTCCTATTGATCATTCGGAAGTTCTTATTGTGGCGTTTGCTTCACAACCTGTTGATCCTTCAAATTATTGGTCTACACGAAATGTTATTCCAGAATTTGATCTATCAAATGTTCAATACAATTCTGATTTATCATATCAAATTGAATCGATTTTGTTAGCTGGCTCTGCTATCTCTTTATTTTCTATGGCACAGGTATAATATAAATCATTTTGACTTTTTTTAATATGTTGTTTTGGAAAGTGAGAATAGTTTATTTTTGAATATTTATTTTTTAAATAAAATTTTTTGGTGAAGAAATAATTTGTTCGTATTTTTTTCTGGTTCTTTATTAAAACTTGTATTTAGAATATTCCTTTTCGTTTATAATTCTTAGGCGCTCTTTCAGACAAACGATACATAATTATTCATACTGAAAATTCGATATGAACTATGCCTTTTAACATTTGAATGACTAGATTCAGTTTATTGTACTAGTGTTTTTCAATATACATTTACTCAATATGAATCAACTAAACAAGAGGAACATGGTTTTAAGCTCTTTGATAGTTAAATGTTGAAACACATATAATTCTAAATCCCACTCTGACTATCTACTTCTTGCATCTATTTGATAATGCATACAATTATTAGTCCTAGTTGTAAACACTGGGTACAACTTTCAAAATGATTGATTTAGCATCAAGGTTTTTCAGATAAAAAAAAGTCAACTTATTCGAAAATAATTCATATGTATTTCATTTTACTAAAATTCATTACACCGATCAAAATTAAGAAAAAGTAGAAACCTTTTTTAAAGAAAACATTAACCTCATTGAAACTACTTAGTTTAAGGTTTTATTTCTTGACTATGGGAATCATTTTCTCTGTTGTCATATTCCATAAAAATTCTCTAGTCTGGAAGTATACTATTCTAATTGATATTTAAAAATACATCCATGAACAATTAGTATGACGCGATGCATCAAACAGTCACTTAAATTATTTGGTCATTAAGTTTGTTCACCTTTATTTTCTCTTGAAACACAATCTCTTCTATTTATCAAATGGATGTTATATTTCATTCAATTGAAAAATGTTTTTAATGCATATAAATTATCGTGTTTTTTTCAAGAACAAATAAAAAAATGTTTTTGTTGTAGATTAACGCGAAATTTGATCGTGTCATGATGAATTGTTTGGACGGGATCGGAATGCATGGACCGTCGCATTTTCTACATTCTAGTAGTGAAGATATGCGATGTGTTAAAGATGATTATTCGGTAAGTAATATGATTTGCTTTTTGTTTCCTATCGAATGATGCAAATATGTAATGTATATATATATATATATATATATATATATATATATATATATATATATATATGTTATATTCGGGAAGATTTATCTAGGTGTCGTTTTATTGTCTTATATCTTTTCTTATTCATACAGAAAAATTTTATTCATGATTGTCCTACTGGACATCAACTCAATCAATTTATTACAGGAAATGATCAAGAAGATGATATTTATGCTCCAGCATTTTTAAAATTCGAGTCTAATGTTACTGGTATGGCAATAACCGCTGTATCACAAGAATTCACAGTTGCAATATTTACAACAGATGATGGCTATCTATACAAGGTAATTATTTGTTCCTAAGTATATTGTTCAATGCATAAACAAGTTTGTGTCATTATATTGATTCATTGCATTTTGATCGAATTATGCATTTTTGTTTAGTAGTAGTTAGTTGTCACACTCTCAACGCTATTTTCATCATTAAATTTATTTCCCCCTGTGCATGTATTGTTACAATAATAGTGATAATAATAACAGTAACAGTGATGATGATGATAATAATAATAATAATAATAGTACTCGCTTTAATCGATGCCATATTCATAGAGTTCCAGTGGAAAAAACGCCTTAATACCCAAATATGGGTGATTTCAAATTGTGAATTTTCATTAAAGGGATTCTTAACAATTATTATCTTTCATCTGTCTCCCATAAAAGTTTAGGTCAGTTCCCCAAGTTCGATATTTTTTTGTCATGGTATATATTAAATACATGAAATTTTCAGTGTATTCTATATTTGGTTGAGATATTTTACAATTTATGCTGAATTTTCACATTCAAATCAAAACCAAAACATTAATTACATTGTGAACGTAATTCAAATTGAACTTTTAACTGTATTCAAACTTGTACTTTTTCAATACATTTAAGATTGAAAAATCAATTAATTCCGTTCTCTTTAATCATCATCTCTGGACTGATATAGATGAATTTCTTTACTAGTTTCAAATATTTCTCAGTTTTTATGTTTAAGTAAAGCTGAGAGTGGAGCCTAACTTTTATAAATCCATTTTTGTCAAGCATATTCATGCTGTGAAAGTTGTATATTCTACTTAGTTCAACATTTAGCATAACAATTAAATAGTTTGAATTATCCCGTTGTTGATAGTTTTGAATGAAAGTTGGTCAGTCTTTGTTAGCGTATATCTATTCTGTGCGGAATGTATTGATATAACTATCGTGATACAGGTTAATATAGAATCGATGGAGTATGGAAATCAGTGGAATCCAAGTCACATGCTACATCATGTTTAGAAGTTGTTAGCTGAATGGATCTTCCATCTGTTCTAAATTAAATTATTTTGTTAAACTAGACAACCCTGATAAAATGGCAGATAAGTTTTCTTGTTGTATGATATATAAAATATTCTACTGTGCCTTCATCAAATACAGCCTCAACTTGGATAGGATATAATTTACAAGAAACAGTTAGTTAATGATCAGATTATCTAGTGCATTTTCTCATTCTAGCAAATGTATTTACCAGTTAGCTTATAACAAGCACATATCTACTAAGCCATTGAGTTAGAATGTGATGGTACATATTTCTAACTCCATTTGTAATATCACATGATGGTCTTTCAAGTCAGCTAGTGTCAACTTGTTCACTCCCTGTGTATATTTCTGATTGCAAGTTTATTACATAGAAAACATCAATGACTTATTGTATTGCTATCATTTAAATAATTTTGATTTCACTTATCGAATTTTTAGCATCTCTCATATCTTGAATAACCTTTTTTTCTGATTTTCTTCCGATTCATCATAGTATGAGCTTCTCAGTCTTGATAAAGCACATCTTTTAGGGTCGCTACAATTAGTTCCAAATGGTCAACCAATAACAAGCTTAGCGTTAGACCATACTGGAACAATAGCATTTGCAACATCATTTCATAAGGTTAGTTCATTTAATTAAAATTTCCTTGATTCGATCTCGCTCATTACTTTAAGTTAAAAGTTGATGTTATCATTTTTACAGTTTATTATTTTGATTGTTAGTTTGTATCATTACTTACTTGATAAATAAAATATTATTAAAATATAGTGTATTTCTACGTTTGTTCCTTAATTCCATAGGTAATTTCGTCTTAATTATTGTTTACGCTACTGTGTTTTACTGACAAAATATGCACACAAAAAACATGAATTAATATTTATTGCATGTTAAAATGGAAAAAAAACTATTTTACGCCGTATTGTTAGGTCAAATATTTCAAATCTATTTTGAACTTCGTCTTTAAAAAGCTGGACGGAACTTCTTTGCTACTGAGGATTTATGAACATTTCCGAATTTCGTAGTTTTTATATCAATCACTGATCTATGAAAACTATTGAAAACCAGTTAGTTTGTCCTAGCATAGGATTGAGCAGAGTACAAGTACTGTCTTACTGGGAATCAACCTAAAGCCTTCATGTTACGTTGAGGATACTGAACCCTTAAACTTCTAAGCAAGCGTTCATTGAGTATACATATCTGACTTCAATCATTTTGCAATATTATGCAGCTATCTTCCGATGCCATTTGTATGTAGCTTTTTAACACTAGACATTATCTTTTCTCATGAACAAGGTAGCCTTTCTTGAGTTATTCAAGAATTCGATCGGATAAGATAAACAAATTCTCAATTCTGCTCAAATGTGCTTTACTCTGAATAACGTTTTAAAAAAGACGAAGATCACAACAAACATTTCTAAAGCTGTTACGGTGATCACTGGAATTTGAAATTTTGAAAAAATATCCCATCAGTGTTTCATGTACCAGTGAAATACCAAACATATTTTGCCCCTTCTCGAAAAAACAGTTTCTTAGTGATAGTTTTCAGTTATGGTTGTTCTCATTTGTTACTTGAGGTGTTGCTTGATTGTGGATTTTATAATAATGTATGACTAATCCTTTTTAAAGTTGGCAATAATCTCAATTTTAGTTAGTTTACAATTAATGTGCTACTTATTCACGGATCTAGAGCTTCGGAGTTTCAATTTTTGGAGAAACTGGAATGGAAATATGTCTTCACATAGAATAAATTTATAACTTCGTGTAAATCTCATTTATGATCCAAAGCTACGTTGTATGTTTGACGCTAAACAGTGTGTTCAAAGTCATGTTTATTTATCCAGGTTTTTTTTACATATCTTTTGTTAATGTCATGTTTTCAGGTTTTTCGCATTGAGTTATTCAATTGTTCAGCATATTTAACATGTCAGTCATGTTTAAAGGCTCGTGATCCTTATTGTGGTTGGTGTATAGCAGAAGGCCGGTGTTTACTGTTTCACCAATGTCCTTTAGTAATGTCTCGTGTAAAATCATCTAATGATCTCAAAAAGAAACGATCTCCAAACAAGTATTCTGGTAACAAATATTCCTCATTAGACCCAATTTATTGGTTACACTATAATACTTCAACTAATAAGTAAGCTAATCCTACGTGAACCAATTATTAAAACTATTTATAAATTTATGTATAGTTGGTTATTACTCATGTTTAGTTTCAAGCTTTGCTCTGTGTAATAAAAACTGATCATTTCTTTGAAACTGGGCTGGTTTGTTTTCTTTTTAGTAATTTTTAGAAACCTACTTCATAATTTTGATGTCATAATTCATACAGTCGTGTACTCTTAGGAGTAATTATTAATTTCCAGTTTTCCAAACCTTGAAAGGATACTTCTTGAGGTACCTGGAAAAGAAATCGAGTTATGGGTAATCTTAACTACTCAAGAACGTGACCTCAGAGCTCAAGAGACAACTAATTGAAGTCGGTTATATGCGACCCTATTTTAAGTAATTTTAGACGAGCTAGCCCACTACTTTTAAGTTCATCGGGGATGTGAACTATTCTCAGGGTTGGAAATTTCTAATTCCTTCCTGTTATTGTAAGTAGGCAACATCGCAGTGGATGTTGGTTGTTTGAGGAAAACATTTTATCGTTGTTACATTCTATGCATTGATCAGTAGAACTTCGCTTATGGTTCACGAATTTGCCGTTTTAAATCTGATTGCTCCCCGACCTACTTGACATGATCATAAAATATATAGTCATTTGTTATTTACAACTGATTGTATATAATGAAATAAAATTTAAGTTCACATAACTGAATGATTATTTGAAACCATTAGATTTTCTTATAAAAACAACACAAATACGTGCTAATCTCACCAAAAATATGCAATAAGTATGGAGCAGTTTACTTTGAAGTACCAGAAGCCTCCTAAGATCATCAAAAGCTAGTTAATATGAACTTTTTTGCCGTACCGACTTCCAAGTACCCATATGTTGAATGCTATTTTCCTTCATTGAACTTAATGTTTTAAAATAAGATAATTATTTCAAATTCTTAGATGAAATACTGAAGTTTTTTAGTTTATGTATATGAATTTGTAGTTCAGAAGTTTTTCACGTGTAAAAATTGCAGCAATTGTTCGTAATGAAATCTACTTAATTAATGAGAATATAATTTTCTACTTATGCAGATTGTAAGTCATCCGAAAAGCTTTGATTTGTGTATGTTACTGGTTCAACGATAAATTTTAACTGACTTTCTATACTCATATACACATACATGCTACTGCTGAATGACCACCTTATTCTGATTATCATATCAGAACATTTCTAAATAACATCTCAAATTGAAGACATTGTTTGGACGTTCTGTGGGTGGGTTTAAAACTGTTAGATAATCCATTGAGAGAGAGGTTTCCCAGAACTATGCGAAAAATACCAGCCTAGTACATTTCTTACAAAGTGATCGCATATTAACGTACTAAGATATTCAACTGTGAGAGATAAAGGCCAAACTACACGAACTAAAATAAGGTAAAAATATAGATAATAAGGAGAAACAGTACCTAAAATATTAACATTAAATCAGATTTTGTGGTGTAAGTATAAATTTTTCTGAACAACCCAAGTTGTTGAATTCTCCTATGAGCAAGGCTTCAGGGAATCTATGCATTTGCCATAGTCAAATTTGATACAAAATCAGAAGTGATAGTTAAAATCAGTCGCATGACCCACTTCAATTATGCATTTGATAATGGGGAAAGATGGATGTTTGTAATCTGTTCTTATTAGGTCATTGAACTTTGTTTATATAGCCATTTAGGTACAGATCCAATCAGTTTTTTTAACAAGTTCTAATTACCTTCCCTCTATGTATGCCTGTCTACAGACAAACCCGCTCTAAAACGCAACACTATTAGACTCACATTTGAATAACAGAATGGTGTAGATATTCTTCCTAGGTGTTGGGAACGAAATATATATTGCTGCAGATTTTCCAACAGTCTTTGAAGGCCGATGTGTAACGAACTATGATGTCAAGATCAGATGGAATATCTACATTTACAGAAGAGGCAGTTTAGCTACAAAATATGTACAACTAATCTTCAATCATCTGTTTGTAATGTGAGAAGATTATTGGCTGTCTTTTTCACTATCGTTCTGACCTTTAGTGCAATCTGATCCCGCCATACATTTCAGTCTCTAGACCCTCTCTGATAACAACTTTTAGGTGACACTCCGCTGCATACTACTCATCTGCCATCTTGTAAATAGCGTCCACCACAAACGAACATTTATTCTGCATTAATTTTTCATTTAATAGGTTTTCTTAAAACTTAGGTCTAATTCCAGTTAATTTAACAAGTACTATATCTAACATTTTTATCAATCGCCCGTGTTTAGTGTGAAATGAGATTAAGAATATAGATTCGCATTTATTTGATTCTTATTCACTTTTTCTTTATAAAAAATGGTAAATCATTAGAATCCTATAATAATTACCTTTCATTGTATGTTAACATTATTTGCTTGTTTCACCACAGATGCCCAGTAATTAGACAAGTTAGTCCGCCTGGTATTCAAATGAGCACAACCCCTATGGTTACTTATGCTAACCAGGACAGTCAATACTATCAGCAGAACATAATTTTGAGTTTAGATGCAATTCTTTCTGAGAACCTCCCCAATTCTGATTGGTCAGAAGGATTTTTCTCTAAAACTCAACCTCATCAAATAAATTCCTTTGGGGACTTTGAAAGTCTACACCATCCGTCACTTGATGAAAGTAGTGTTAATGCTAATTCACAGTTGTTTTGCAGTTTTCGAGAAGCACCAACATCAATTCTTCAAATGGAATCTTTGATTTCTGGAACCCTTTCAAACCTCGATTTAAATAAGATTTTGTTAAATGTTACTCGCACACCACTACTCGCTAGAACTGCTGTGAAATTGTTTTACTCGTCTGGAAAACCTGTAGAAGCACATTGCTTGTCTCCAGTAGTACCATCACGATTACCTCAGCTTGAGGATGGTAAAGGTAGGTAAAAAAATTTGAAAGTTGTGGTTGCTGTAGTATAGGTTTCCTGGTTGAATAATTCTCTAAAAGTCCTGAAATTTCTGTTTTCATGCAGTTTCTAGTAAATAAAAATAGTCAAATAAAGTAAACTTACCAACTCTCATTTTAGATTAAGATAAGTTCACCAGTATATTTACATCTTTTAACCCATAGTCATTTAACATATTAAAATGCAGAAATAGAAAACCATGGAAATCGAGCGAATCAGGGGTTTTTTCAGGGTGAACTCATCATTTCCTTACTTTTCAAGTTCTCTGATAAAAAGATGGTCATCAATACCCACAAAGTAGCCATATTTTTTGACCTAAAAGTGACGTTTCGCTCCTTTCAACTGAATAAATGCAACAATACAGTCTGTCAACTTGAACTCAGGGAAACATATAGTGGGCTATGTAAAATTCCTATCAAGTATAACAACAATAATTAGTGTAAATTAGGAATTTCTACTAACGTGGATCTAATCAAAACTTTCTGTTACAGCATAAATAGAATTGACTCTACTCACTGATGTATTCAAGAATTTACTTTCTATTTATATACATTTTTGTTAATATACATTGTTCTCTTCAAACTGAATTTTATGATGCCTAGTTTCAAAATATTCTGGTTAGGATCGATCAAAATGTATAGAAACATTTCTATTCTTTATTTTCCTTCATTTTAACCCTGAATACCTTTTAAAGTTTTGTTACTAATGCTATTAATGATGTAAATAATGCTTATCAAATAAGCTAATGACGTAGTTGCTTAGTTTATCTTATGTTTTATATTACTCATAATCATTCACGTTAATGTAAAGCCGGCCTTATCGATTATGTTGTTCCTGAAATTTTCCATTTACAGCTTCTCTACCTTTGTTATTATGGCTAGAAAAAGTAAAGACAACTGATGTAGATCCTGATAATGTTGGTGCACTTGCACCTGCTCTATTTGCTATTTATGATTGTTCTCAGCTTAAAGATTGTCAGTCTTGTTCACGAAGTCGATTTGTATGCGCATGGTGTTTATTTGAAGATCGATGTGTTCCTGTTTCTCCAACATTATCTTCAGATGGACAAATAACGAATACTGTATGTAAAGATTCTTTCTCGAAGTCTTCTGAAAAAATTAATCCTCCATTCGGTATTATTCCTCCTGGTCATGTAAGTAAATGGACAAAGTTTATTCATAACTCCTAAATTTTGTAATGATATTCACATTTATAAATGTATCACAACATTTCATTGACTAATTATTCACTGAAATCATGTCTTATTGAATTGAAAACCAACTTAATGACATACTTTTTGAAATACATAACAAGTTCCAAACTGTTTAATAAACGAATAAGGAAATGATGGTTCGAACTGTGCTAGGTGCCTATATACAATAATGAAACACTATATCCCTTAATAACATTTGTTTGAATCCTGTTATTTTTTACTTCTTACGGCATTTGTAGAAATTTATTTATTATTATTATTGTTATTATTATTATCTGAACACATGAATATTTTTCTAAAGACGAACCTAGACATTTATGAGCCACACAAGTTATTGCATTTGTACATGGGCTGTGATACAGTCCGAGTCTCCAAACTAAAGCATCCGGTTTTCTTGGGGCCATACCTTGAGCCTTAGGCTTACAGGTCTAATCCAAAAGGCAGTGGAAATGCAGTCCCATGTTAGACGATGACCAACAATAGGTTCATACGCCATTTTTATCTCCAGGATCTTGAGGCCTATATACACCGCTGGTTTGAAATCAAGGTTTTTAAACTCCCGTAAGTAAATCCTTCATACCAACTAGCCCGGTTTAAGTCTTGCTGGACACTCACTTTTCATCCTCTCAATTTTATAAACAACTCCCTCGCTGTAAGAAGGTAGTTGGTAGAACTTCTCTTGTAATGGCTATACATGCGTGGCTTTTTGAAAGTATTTGGATTAAGAAAGCGGACTCTCCCTAGTCTCAGCCGTACCAGAGCATAAGGGGGCGGAGTTAATTTGAATTTCCTCATGGTGTTTTCAAAGAACATACCAACTAGATTATTTTTTAATGTGTCAAATGGTTTAATCCAACCTCTAAAAATTGAAAGAATAACAAAAACTTTATTCTGACTCCGACCAACGATAACAGCATGAGTATTAATGAAAAAAAAACAGCCTTTTTAATTCTTGAAATTTAACCAATAAAAGTATAGATTTAAAGATGACAGAATGAACTTGCACACTGTCTAACAATCCCATAATCCTTATGTAGAAAGTTTTTTCGTATGGATTCTGGTCTAATTTCAGGAAAATACTACACTTTTCATTCTATCGTTTTTATGGTTCAAATTTAGTTAGTTAGTTAGTTTGTTTGTTTTTTCTGTTATTTTCGTAAATTTATCACATCTTAATTTTGTTTTAGGCTGACGACTGTCCACGTTTTAAGGGGTCTATCGAAAGAATCACCCTAACTAATGGTTCATCGCTTTCTGTTAACTTCTATGTTTCAAATGTTCAAGTAGGTGAATTGTTTCTCATTACCAAGTGTATAATTTCTAATAATCTGTGATACTTTATCAAAATCATGATCATTTTTTTTTGCATCATATTGTAAAACTCTGCTTCAGACTATTATCATTTGTTGTTTTCCTGTCAAAATGTTCAAGATATTTTACAGTTTTACTTCTGTTATTTTCTTTCCAACTAAAAATTAATGTTTTCTTATTAGCAATCTTAAAATATTAAGAACTGAAAATTCCCCCATTTCTATTGGCTTAATCATTTCTGATCATAGCTTTCAGCATATTTTATCAAGCTGTGATAAATCACTTAGGAGATATTTGTTTGTATGAACTACTTCGGTTATTTAATCTCAAATGCTGTTTTTGTTTTGTTCTCTAAGGTTGTATTATCTCCAGTCAGAAATATTAACTGGCTAGAAATAATAAATCAAACAATGAAAAACGTCAGCTGAAAACAGTGTCTTTCATAGGACTAATGAGATTGACAACTAGTGTTTATGAATTGTTATGCTTCAGAGACTTTTGTTGTGATGATCACAAAAGTCATATTTATATGGACCATTCTAACCATAGATGTTAACTACTGAATATCATTTTGTTAAGTCAGTTGAATCCTCAATATGCTTGTATTCTGCTAAATTATGAATCTTAACTCTCTATTGTATTATTATTCAGTATATCAAATGTAGCACACAAGTTATCAAAACAAATATTCTAGAGAATTTCCTAATTAATGATATAATAGACTTATTTTATAACTATTTAGTACTGAGATTTATGTTATCAAATATTTTCTATGTCTATGTCATCAATTTATAATTCTAATTCTTTTGTAGAAACAACAAATTGTTGGATTTAGTTGCGCAGAAAATTGTACAAATCAACAGGTTCGCGCTTCGTTTAATCCATCTAATTCAACGGTGTTCTGTCATATAGAAGTGGTAAAGTGAATTTATCTTAAAATTTGTCTTTTATATTAGATTTTTATGAAATTATCAATACAGTATATATTGTGGACATATCTTTGACATAGTTTATTCATAGCAAATATACTTATGAGTCCTATGGCACTACCAGGTTTTGAATGACTAGAGTTCGAATAATGAATTACTTATCATCATTAGTTCAACTGTATGAACATTTAAAAGATCATTATTTTGTTCAGTCAATGCTATCTGAACAATATTCTGTTGGTAGTTCATCTAATTGGGCTAGTTGACAGTTAGTACTTCATTGAACAAATTTTATATTGGTGTAGGTTTTAAAGGGTTCTATCTTGTTGAGTCTTCTGACTACCCTAAGCGACAATGCAAGCATGTTCGGACTGCGGTTGTCACCCTCGAAGTGCAAAATGTTGCTTCAAGATTGGGTTTCATCGGCACCTGAACTAGTGATAGGGAGTCAAGTAGTCGAGCGTTTAGACCGCTTCACTTATCTTGGGAGTCTCATCAGTGCTGATGGCCTGGTAACTGACGAAATCTCAGCACGGATACAGAAGGCTCGACTGGCTTTTGCCAACCTGCGTCACTTATGGCGTAGGCGTGATATCCGTTCTCTAATCAAAGGACGAGTGTACTGTGCAGCCGTTCGCTCCGTTCTCCTATATGGCTGTGAAACACGGCCAGTGAGAGTAGAAGATATTCGTAGGTTACTGGTTTTTGATCATAGGTGTCTTCGAAGCATTGCTCGTATATCGTGGGACACCCGAGTGAACAACGCTGTTATTAGGAAACGAGTTCTAGGTAGGGATAGCAAATCAATAGATGAAGTAGTGAAACTTCATCAATTGAGGTGGTTGGGACATGTGTTACCTATGCTTAACCACCGACTGTCGCGACAAGCTATGTTTTGTGGTGTAGGAGTAGGTTGGAAGAAAGCTAGGGGCGGCCAGACCAAAACATGGCAGAAATGCATGGAGTCACTGACAAATGGACTGAGTCATGTTGGTAGATGTAGGCTATCTGGTTGGGGTCCGCGAGACGAGGGTCACCAATGGTTAGAGACCTTGAACGACATGGCTCAGAATCGTTTGCAATGGCGCAAGTGCATCCACTCTTTGTATTCTCTCTAATTTTAACCTTCTGAATTCCTCATAATCTCTATCTTTCTATTTACAAATTTATCTTACTGAATTATACTTTTCGAATCATATCTTCGCTCCCTAATCTTCTCCATTGCTGCTAATAATTCTACTATCGCTATCACTCTTGGATTTGAACTGACAGTTGCGTCTCTGTGCTGACGTGGTATGACAACCTGAACTGATGTACTTATGTACGAAGTTCTGCGTTGTATCTGTCTGTCTGTCTTGTTGAACTTATCAAATATTATTTCTTTTATCCTTCAGTTGATCTTAATGAAATAAGCCTTTACATTATTTTCCATAACAGATTTTTGATCAATAGAATTCAGGTACAGAAATGATTAATATTGAGGCGTTTAAGTATCCCCGTTCGTTTGACATCAACAAGTTGTTTAACGTTTAATTACGGATACAATTGTCAAGCTTCATTAATTGATACTGTCAGAAAGAAAATTTTATCTCTAATGTTGCATTGAATTTTCTTTGTAATAAACAAGATAATAGCTTAGTAAATTTCCATTACATACATGATTTCTAGTAAGACATTCAAGTGTAAATAATCTTGACTGCTTAGGCAATATCCTGTTCTAAGGAATTTGTAGTCGCTGTGTTAAATTAACCTACTAATATATATATATTATTTGACAAAACTCAATAAGATACAACAAATAAACCTGTTTTCATGCTTTAACGTTGAACATATTTAGCAAATTAATGGATGTATATTTTTTTAACGCGCTCTCACTTTGGTTCCGTTATTTGTTCTCTTGTTAATTAATGAAAACTTATTACTATACCATTGGAATATTGAACACTGTTCTAATGTCATCATATTCTTTGTATACTATCCACCACTCTACTACCCAAAATTTTACCGTATTTTTTAATTTATCAATCATTAGATTAATCTGACAGAACAATTAAGTACTCGTCTGTTGCAAAACAATCATAACCAACAATCACATGATGCAGCTGTACTATGTGGCTTAGATCTTTATTGGCACGGATTGAATGATCATGATGAAAAAGGTCACCGTATGGTGAATGAAGATCAAGTTCAAGGTAGGTTATTTTATGTCATCGATAATGAGAACACACTACTGATTGCAACACACTGACATTCGATGATTGATTTTTTGAATAATCATAGATTTGATCTCATTCATTCTCGTCAAGGTTATATTTCTGTAAAAAGTTCTATTATCCTACACCTATTTGACTCATGCATATTTTTTTTCTTTTTCCGATGTTTTGGTTTCAGTGGAGGTTTATGCATGTGAATGGTTAGCAGATTATTGTGATAAATGTTTAGATCTTCCTTCACGATTCGATTGTACCTGGTGTATTTCTGCTCAGGATTATGAGAATAAAAACATACTCAAAGAAGGTAAATGTCGTACTCGAAATTCATGCATTGAACGTAAATACTTCAATGGTTCTACAATTCTACGCCAGTACTCTTTTCGACCAGGTGATGTATGCCCAAATCCTGAAATCTTATCAGTAAGTCATTGAAGATAGATATTTAACTTCAATAGATTCTCTCAACTTGAAAATCGTAAAAAAAAATTATGTTAGCTTTACAAAAAGCCACTTAGTAACAGATTTGTATATATCTGTATTATTTTTAGTACAAGATGTTAGTATGTTGTTATTTTTGTGATATCCTTGACTTAGCTATTCATGATATGATTTGAACATGTATTAGCCTCCAATAACTACTCTTTGCATTATTCCCATTCAAATCAGTTATTATGAAGTGAATATTTGAGAAGTTGATAGGAGTAACGATTGTCATCATGTCTTAAGAATTACATCTAGTTCTAATTGAAATTTTCTCATGATATCTTTTCAGTTGATCTTTATCTTTTGAATATTGAAATCTAACTTAGTCTCTTTTTGTAAATCTATAATTATTCCAAATGTATTAAATAGATTCTCTATTTTCCATGGACTGTTGAAAACGAATTACTTTAGAATTGGTGATATGAAATTTCTTCTACCCTACATAATCGTTTATTTATGTATTCATTAGCTTTTTTCATGTATTAATCCAAGAACAGTTTTTGTATCAATTGCTCTTCAAATTTTCATCCACTTTCTTCTGTTTTTCTCTCAACAATTAGCTTTCTCCAACGAATGGCACTTTGACAGGACAACCGATACTTACCATTACTGGTCGAAATTTGGGTCGTAATGCGATGGACATAGTAGAAGTCTTTTTAGATCTCCAACCGAAAATCCAATGTACTGTTTTATCGGAAACATATCAGCATTCATATAAATTTATGTGTAAGCTTGTTGCAGCAACTCATTTGTCACTGCCTGTTTCTAGTAAATTAAAGGTTGTGATAAGCAACAAACGATATGAAGTGAGTAGTGTTAACATATAGAAAAATGAATTTTTCCGTACCATTTAACTTTTCTAATTCTCTGAAATCGTATAGTCCTACTACCGCGTAAATACAATGAAACTGACATATTAGCATATATATATATATATATATATATATATATATATATATATATATATATATATATGAAGTATTTGAATTATTTAGGCTATTACACTAAGTAGTCTCTACTTACATAACAGATATAATGGATGCTGCTTTGAAAGATAAAATCAATTACCAATTAGTTATTATTTTGAATATTATTGAAATTTTAACTCTTAACAAAGTTAACGTAGAATATGTTCTTTGTCAAATAGTTATACCAGGCAAATCATCTTTTCTCACTTTTATCTTTAGGCATTCTCACCGGTTTTTCACTTCGCTGTTCCCCATTTAATACACGCAACACCTCAACGTGGACCTAAAGCAGGCGGGACTCGATTATATTTGTCAGGTACTAACTTAAACATTGGAGGCCAGCGCGCTGTTTATTTATACCTCCCAACAATCAGCGGGACAAGTGATGAGTCTCATAGAGATCGATTTTCAGAATCAGATGTTCGAGTGAAATGTGAAATCGAACAGTAAGTTTCATACTTAGTCTTTACTCATAAATTTATATATTCATACTGTATTGACCTCCAAATTTTCAGCTCGTGAAAACATAGATATAATGACTTCTTTAATGATTGTATTGTGTAGATAACTGTTGTGTCAATAGCAATAAGTAAATCTATTACTCTTTTATTTATAATGGTATAAAAGTACTGTTTACCAAATAAACAGTAATGTATATATGACTAGTGAAAAGTTAGGTCTTCTAATACACAATAGACTGTCAGTGAAGTCTTAACAAACGCCATACTAATTCACAGTACTTTTTTTATGCGTAAAACTCTGTCGACCTAGTTGCAACACAAATAATATTAAAATGTTTAAGTTCGATCGGTTCTATGGATGATTAAATACAATCTCATCAATTTCAGTATTTTTACGTCCATAAATTAAATTTAAGCTTAAGCCTTTGATTTCAATAGGATGCCTCCGAATGTAAGAATTATAATTTAGAATTACCATAACTTTTTCCGGATGCAGTAATTTCAGTAAAGCTTTATGTTTATGAGCTTTTATCTCGTACAGTATGTTTCTTATATCTACGCCACTATATCCATCTAAAGATTTTACTGTACATTCAGCATAATATAGTATCTATCTCATTGCAATTGCTAAAATGTAAACCAATGTTTTTGTTTAAAAGTCTCCAGGATTATTAAATTACTAATATATGGATAAAGAATATTCTCTTCAAGTTTTACAGTTATAGATTTAATTAAATAGCACAAAATTGGACCAGATATGTAGGGTAAATACATTGTCTCAAATAGTTGGCCGCGAGGTTATCCAAACCACGAGGAAATCTGGGATGTATTTCTTTTGCACACAACTCCGGCTTCTTAATTTCAACCGCTATTATTGGTTCTACTGTGTAAAGTACCTCAAGTATGAACAACTTAGTCATAAAACTACTTACCCAATAAATTATGGAGAAGAGCTGACTTGCGATTATTTTACATCAGGAAGGCTGACATTGGAGTGGTTTATGTCTGTTATTTCATCATGTTTTTGTGATTCAAAGGAAAGATGTCTGTAACAAGTTTTATATAATCCATATCAAAAATTCCTTACTATTAATTCTTAGTGAATATATGTCTTCCGATTGCACACTTAAGATACCTACTGAAAATATTAATATTTTGAAGGTTAGGTACATCTTTCAGGTACATAAGATTACATAAATGGAATGCAACTCAGTCCCAAAGTCCAAATTTGTGTACTCAGCTATAGTGATGTTACACGTTTACTTTCCCCTCTTTTCACAATTGTGAATATTTTACAATAACCTATTAGATTTTCATGTAGATACAATTATCTTTAAAGTATCGTTATCATTGTGTTAGAATTTCATTTAGAATAATGATCATACAAGTTTGTTTGTTTATTTTTTCCTAATATGTACTTTTATCATCGAATGGCTTCTTTACATTCATGTAAACCATTTTCGTGTATTCATGATGTTTTCATCGAAGTTACCTCATCACCATATCCGAACTTCCTGTTCACTTTATTTTAATCTACCAGTTTAGATAAATAACTAGTTATCAGGTAATAATAAGTAAAATAGTCTAAACTATTCTTCATTTTTACTTGTTAAACATTTATTCATCTGATATTTTTTTGTTCAAAAAAAAAGTTCTTAAATGCATGTTTTCTTGTTATATATATATATATATATATATATATATATATATATATATATATATATATATATATATATATATATATATATGTTTATTTGCTGATCAGTCACGCGTTGAATTGCATGGCGTCTGGATATTCACTTTACTATATTTATTTATTCCTTAATCCTTCTCCTTCTATTTCTCTCTCACTCTCTCTCTCTGTCTTTCCTAATAATAAAGTAGACATTATCGTATTTGAACAGTGAGCACAATTTATGATGAAAATAATAAAGATTACTTCTTGAAAAAAAAAGTACATGCCTAATTAGTTTGTCTGTTATAAAATAATCCGTGTAACTTGGTTCATTTGGTTAGAAAAGAACGTACACAAAAAAATATGTAAATCATCATTTATTTAATTAATAATTGATAAATATTATTTGTTATCCGTACATATACAACACGAGTAAAATTGTGTTATGTTAATTGTTTAACTTTTCGTTTTTAACAATCTTTTGTCAAATAAAACTACTCCATAGAGTGTGTTGTATTGTTATGCACAAAAAGACAAGTATTATTTTCTTACTGTGTATTTCTGTCTCTCTCTCTCTCGTAATTTACTGTTTGAACATTTTATGCATAATTCAATGTTTTTAAATTTTATTTATTTTATTTTGTTTTATTTTACTAGAGAATCAGAAACATTAATTATTTGTTTAACTGGTCCATTGCTTAAAGAAACAATCAGTAAAATGATTAGTAAAAAACAATTTAAACGACATGCATTATTTGTAAACTCGAACATGAATGATAACAACAATAAAACATTAACACCCCCCAAAATAGCAACACCTCAACCACCGCCAACAACAACAACAACACTAATCACAAATGATGAACATCATATACCATTATCATTAATAATGATGCATGATATGACTTCAACTTATCTATCACATTCATTTTCATTTATTTATACACCGAATCCTTATATATTGGAAGTTTTACGACAAAATGTTTTAGTTGGGTTAGTTAGTTTGTTAGTGAATTAATTAAATAATTAATTAATAACCTATTCTCATTTTATTATTATTATTATTATTCATTATATTATTTTGACATGCTTGGTTTCAACATAAAATGTGTCATCATCATTATCTCCATTATCATTGGTTCGTAAATAAATTACAGAAGTCATGCCAATTAACAGTCATAACTGGTTTGATACAAACAAAAGTGCGATGTGTAAAGGACAGACATGTAAGTGTTCCATTGTTGTGAAAAGGCATTTATCACAAGCAGTGATGTAAAACAATAGATAAGAACCAATATTGTTGTATAGTGCTAAGTGCTACTTGGATAAAATGTGTTTATCGAAAGATTAGTATTGAGCAAATTTATAGCTCATTTAGAAAAAGAAACAGAATCTCTTGAACTTAATTTCAATGAAAAAAATTAATCGTGAAATATCAGTAAGTGCTTTTTGCAAAAAAAAGAAATGAAACTAATTAAGATGAACTAGAAAATTAAAATCAGATATTATATAATAAAAAATATATATATATCATATGCGCTTAATATAAATAATTCTGTCTTTTTCAAACAAAAATCAACCATTTTCATTCATAATAATAAATAAATCAGAATAATCATAAATAAACTAGCTTTATTATATTGTATATATCTATCTATCTATCTATCATAAATGATAAACACAAATACAACAATCACCATTTAAATTTATGACTATAACATTTCAATTACGAAGTATCTATTAACCACATTTGTATAATTAAAAAAAAAAGAATAACGTTATGATTCTTCATTTCAAATCAATTTGTCTCAATGTTAGCTGTCTTTAAATTGTAATTAATTAGTTTTTTACAAACAAGATATTATGCTTTAAAGCTTACTATCATAGTATCTTGCTACTTATGACGATTTATACAGATTGTAATTGTTGCCAAGAGGAAAATAAAACTCATTTTATTTTGCATTACGTGTATTGGCTTTTACAATACTATATGATTAATGCGGAAAATGATTGCTTCCAAATAAACAGTATTATTAGACTGTCTTTAAACGTTAAAGTTGTAAACTAACGTTGCGTATATTCTGTTAAATGTGTTCTTTTAATATATAAATGTAACAGCTTTGAAGCTTTGATTTCTCATTTTTTTTAATTCTATCATCATTCATTAAGAGAATGCGATCATTATTTCTGTTTCAGTATAATGTCTGTGAACTGAAATAATGATAAAAATTTTGTAAGTTTCATTACTTTCATCTATCTTGTCAACATTTCTGCATCGTTACGCTGCTGTTTATCAAAAAAGATCTAACATTTATGTTGACATACTCAACGTTCTCTTCGCTTCAGCTAATCGTTTTAACCATTATTAGTCACTTGAAGGTATATGCTTACAATTCACTAGTGATGTGATCTTTTATATTAAAATCGTGAATCGATCATCGTTAGACCGCCACTAAGAACTTGGAAGCATTGGACGGACATTTCGTCCCGGTATGTAACTCACTATCAGTGCGCATCCACGACTCCCGCTCTTCGCAGGAATCGAACTCAGGACATTTTGGTCTTGCGCGCGAACGCCTAGTCTCTAGACCACTGAGCCGGCATTCAACGATGTTGATGTCTAACTTTGATCAGTCTCAGGATTTCGCGCAACCTCAGCCATTGTCTTCTGTAGTTACTGTCTACACCCGACAGGGTTGTGTTCCGCTTATCACGGCTTCTCATTAGAACTCTGAGAGTTTCCTCACGAAATTAGCCACTAGTGGGCACATTTTATGGTCTTTCATTATAGCGTCATAGAGATTGTTGTTAAGCGTTCATGCGCAAGATCGAAAGTCCTGAGTTCGATTCCCGGGAGTAGCGAAAGTCGTGGATGCGCACTGTTTGATGAGTTACGTATCAGAAAAAAACTGCCGTTCAATGCTTCCACGTTTCTAATGGGGACCTAACAATGATTGATTCACGATCTCAATCTCCATAACTCTATAATGAAAGATGGGATCTTTATCAGAACCAGTCGTTTGAAGCATCCTGAATTCTCGTATGACATTTATTGGCTGCAGCGTTATTGGATCATAAATACCTATTCAAATCATTTGCAATATATTAGATTTAATGTAGTGCTTGATAAAATACATCGAGGAAATTGTCCAGTATATTTCAAAATATAAACAATGGAAATATTCACATTGTTGCTAGTAGACTGATATTTCATAATCGTTGAACAAGTGACGGTAATGATAACTCAGAAGGCTTTACACACAACAATGTAATATTTAAAGAATTAGGCGCTCAGAAACATTCCGACTAGGATTCAAATACATTTGCTCCAGGAATTTCGCACAAGTATCCTATCCATCCCCGCTATCAAAGCCCATTGTTCCCCATGTCTGTATTTCTTTAAAATAATATCTCCAATTAAACTGTAAGCCATTGTAATGTTTACCTCCATTCGTTATTCATTATTGAAGAGTTGAGCAATTTTCTGGCTAATAATCTTACCTTTCCTCCCTCAATATATCATACCGTACACTATCACAATCTAACCTTATTGTCTTTTCTTTTCAGAGGTGGAACTACCGTCAGAGTTTTTGGCTCTTATCTATTTGTAGTTGAAGACCCTAGATTAGTCTTTTATTATAATGGTTCTGAGTACAGCATGGTAAGTTAGTTTTTGACTTTTGTCGTTGCATTTGCGTGTTTCATTTGTCTTTAAATAGAAATATCTTATGGAGGAAATTTTAAGTAAATAACTTATTATTTGTATTTCAAAACTAGCTCAATCACTAAGCTTAACTCATTTTCATTTACAAATTATTTTCTTTCAGTATTTCTCATCAAATATAAAACTATTGATACTTTAGAATTTTGTTTTCAGCTTTTCATTTGTAGTTCTAACAAAATACCATTTATTGTCATTACTTTATTGTGTATTGTCCAATTGATGAACTGATTTATTCATTCTGTTTTTCACACTGAAAATCTCTAAACTTTTACTGGCTATTATTTTTACTCATATTTAGCTAAGAAATATGTTATAGGAGTTTTGATTATGATTTCATGAACTATTACTACTTATATCATCATCATTAACATACCAGTAATAGTGAATAGTACAATGCTATGCTCTCTGATCTCTTGTACAGTGTTATATGACAGAAAACTATGGATAGCTTAGTTGTATGGTTTATATATAGTAGGTTTTATTAGTTAATACTACTGAGGTTAGTTTTAAACTTTTCTATTGGACAGATAAATAATATCATTGGTTGACATCACTAGAACATGTGTGAACCAAGTATAGTTACTGTTACTCGAACGTCCGATATTAGTTGTAAAATAAGTAGAGAAACAAAACTGGAGAAAGATCATATCGATGCCTGGGATCAGATTGATCGATTACTGATTTAAGCCACTTCTTGATATATTGGTTCGCAGTGGTTTTGATTTAAAGATGTTAGTTTATAAACTGACTGCATGGATGTATATACATTCATTGTATATTTTTCCTGAAAATTTTAAACATTAATTTATTTCTTATTTATTCATTGCCTTGTTCGCTTGCATTACATTTGTAATTCATTATAATAATTCATTTCTCTTATTACTTTTCTTGTCTTATTCATTTTGGATAGTGATAGTTTATTCCTTGTTTTCAGTGTCGTGTACGTTACTGGTTGAGCTGTTGCTGAAACAACCAACTTTTAACCGAGTTAAGAATTTATCAAACCTTATTCAGCTTGAATAACTAACTAGTATTACTTGCTTATATATGTCATTGTGATATTATGGTTCTAAGTAGAATAATATGTTTTTAAATTACTTTCATTGTGTATATTTTCATTTTAACTGTTTAACTTTGTTTATCACCTTATTAAGAAAATTTACAATTGAAACTGTTTATTGCTCGGAGTATATTACTAGAGTATATTGAAAGCCTAAATAATCTAATTCAATTTTGATTTCTATTAACAAAATTGTGTAATTTTCTATCCGTCTTCAGAGTTGCCTTATTTCCTCAAATGAACAACTGGATTGTTTGAGTCCTTCCCTTGTTGTATTTCAAGATACTCCTTTGGTGAAAGAAGATGTGAATAGTAAACACGTATATATAAATGAAAAGCTTGATAATTCAATACAGTCTAGCACTAGTGTTTCGATAAATAGAAAGCAACCTGTCACTTCTCGTTTAACAATATCTCAACCACTGGTACTTTCTCAACTGAAATCAAACCGTGAGTTTTACCACTCTGCTTTTACATCACATACACCTAATTGGCCAACTGAAGTACCATATGGTTTTATTATGGATGGTGTACATCAACTTCGCATATTTGGTCTTATCAAAGTAAGCTCCTAATAAAAGTTTGTTTAGTGTTTGACTATTAGGCATGTAATTTATAGTATGTAGATGACATATTTGAATTCAATTTACTGTATTATTGTTGTACTTTGAATCTTTTGACTATGTGCTGTCTCTCTGTGTCTCTAAACAATCTTGCGTAAACCAACATACGAGTCTAGTCAGCTGCTAAAAAACAATGGAACAGTTAAATTTCTAGCTGTTTAAAAGTTATCAGAAAATTGTTAACGGTTACAGTAAACATATTGAGATTCTAATCTTCAGTCTAACAAGATACAAGTGGTAAATATGTAGTAATAATCTCGTGTATTTCAACAACTGAAACTTACAGAAACCCATCGTTTTCTTAAATAAATATCATAAAACAGCAACACTGAATCTGCTCCTACATCCACAGTTTATAGGCCATATTAACTGGCATTTTATGCATTGAACATTTAAGCTTGTGAGTGCATACACAAAGTGTGTGTATGTTTCTTGTCTTAACTTGCCATAAAATTAATCATATCTATGTAGATTGAGGTAACTCTTACATTGATTTTTCTTATCTATCAGACTAAGTTATATTCGTGACTGAGTCATGTGACACATCGGTTTAAAACACAATTGGTCTATATTTTTACCTATTTTTTGCATATCGATCTCCTAACACTATGTTAAACACTACTCTCTTCAATGTTCTACAAAAATGTGTATTAGATAGTGTAATGATGAATTGTTTTTAAATGATTTACTAATTAAGCATGACTCACATTATTACTGTTACATGGGGAGACAGACAAACTGTTTGCCATTGGATTGTATAGTTATTTATTTATTTTTTCCGACCTTGTCTTTCATTCTACCACGGCTGAATAGCTTAGTTAATGTATGCAGTTTAACCTAATACTAAAGTTCTTCTATGACGTCTATTAGTCTATCTAGGTCACTTTTTATGTCAAATTACAATTTATCAAAGCCATAAAATTCTTCAGGATGATAAAATCTGATCTTGTTACCATAGCTCCTGATTGTTTTCAGTATTCGCTTGAACCATACACTAATGATAACTATATTTTAAAATACCCTTATGGTGAATACAGTCCATTGGGAAATAGTTGGTTTGATTTTCATTGTTCGGCCAGAACATGGGCAATTGATTCTGTGTACAAATTAGCATTCAGTTTTCTCATGTCATTCATCTATTTAAGTAGTTCGTTTTGTATCGATCGTTTTTTTTTAATCAAATGATATCAAGTGTTAGTTTCAGCGTTGGATTCAAGTATAGATGATTTGGATGTGTTTGTTGTCTCAATCAATTATGTATTGAATTGTGGTTATACTTTAGATACTAGCTGGAGAATGAAAACTAGTAGTATCGTCTGTGTATAGAAATTTGTTCGTAATATCAGCATAAGAAACAGGTTGATTAATTGTAGTCCATAAAATCGTAGGTTCAATAGTCATTAACCATCTAAATGGTGCTCAGAAACATCATGCATGCGAATCTCAGATATATTTAAAGGTTAAATGAGGATCATCTGATCCTGTAATACCATATGCTCTTCATTTCGATAAACTGAAGGTATTTAATTAAGTTATTAGAGCTCTGAAGAGTGTAAATTGAATGTATTATTATTCAAGTAATAATTAACTACTCAAACTCACAAACTCAAGTAAATGTTTATGAAATATTATCATTCGATAATAATAACTAGCGGCGTTCATGAAAACCGCAATGTTGTCTTACATCATTATATATGAACTGATGAAATCAAATAATTGACCATAAATCCCGTGGAATTTAGATTATCTGGAGATTTTGTGATCAAGTTACAGCACATCAATGATATTGCTCCTTCTCTCTCTCTCTCTCTCTGTCTGGCAAAACCATTGGCATGAGATAGTATCTTTTGAAATCGTTGTGTTTTTAGTGCATACTACCATACTTGTAGATTTTTATTAGGAATCTTCTGACACACTCAAACTTAATTTACAAATGTAGGATGAAGTGATTCAAAGTGTGTCGAATAATTTTTTGATTTACTAACAAAATCTTAGGAAATTGATCTCCTCTACTAACCTATGTTAAATATATGTTTGACCACGTTTAAACCTCTCTTTAGTCATTTATCTGTAGCTCTTTTTTAATCTTTAAATTTCGCTATTTTTGAATCTATAAAAATGTTTATCCAAATTCCTATCTTGATCATCTCTTCATTCTTTAATTCTCAACTATCATTCTATCTATTCACAGCTATTCAAGTAGACTTTTTAAATAAATAACATAGTTTCAACTGATATAGAACTGACGAAGTGGAGCTGATAATGAAATCCAAGACGCACACTTCGTCCTATTTGGGACTAGTCACCTAGATGTATCTATATCTCATAGTTGATGTTTATCCTGGGACTCGAACCCATCACGCTGTACACTTAGCTATTGAGTTCATAAAGCCACTTGTTTGTGCAATGGCTATGAGATTTAATTCATTTCGAAGTTGTGTGAATTGTCTCGTTTTTCATATATTTGACTGAAATTTGATGTTTTAGTTACCATATGAGCACCTTATGTGAATTTCCTCGATTTAGCCATTACTAAACAAGTTTATATAGAATAGTAGCCATCTAAATAACACGTTAGCGGTTGAAGCAAACTATAATGCGTTCGAGTCCCGGGGTTAATATCAGCTCTGGTACATTCAGCTGACTTATCTTAAATAGCTCAGATTCCTGGATCCCACTGCTAGCCACACCCCACCTGTTCTATATCAACTTGTATCATAATGGCTATATCGAGGCGATCAGTACACAAGGTCTATATACCCACCAAGACTGATCAAATTTTACTCAAACATATGAACAACGGGATAGTCCAAACCATCTCGAAATGAATGGTTTTGACTATTTGATTTTATGTATTAACAATAATTAACTATTTCAGATATTCTATTAGTAGGCTATTTTATTGACTAAATATTCAACATTTTACAACCACATCATATGACTATTATACTTTTTATAATAATTATCATGAAAATATATCTGTTGTCTGTCATAGTTTACTAGAGTTTTTATTTACTTTAGGTATATCAAGATCCTGTTGTAATTCCATTTCCTGATGGTATTCGTGTGGAAAATCTTGATGATTATTTAACAGATGATCTAATCAACGATCAACATATTGTTGAAATGAATGGTTATCCAAGTCAAATATCTAATCAATCATTGGAACTATCATCTCAATCAGTTTCATTAACAAATCCTCATAAATTATCAAATCAAATAAATTATCCTAGTGTTAAACAATTAATTCGAATTCATGGTCATTTTGATGCGCTTGTTCATGCTCCAGAACTAGCTAAACCTGATGAATTAATTGTAAGAGTAGGTGATTCATTAATTTGTGAAGTTAATTCTATTATGCTGACAGAAATACGTTGTGATTTAGATAGAAGAACAATTATAAAACATCAAGACTATCCTGTTGAAGTCCAAGTAAGCAATTCATATTTGATTTATCTGTTGATTGATCAAAAGTACATTTTTCTCGTTAACAATGATTTATATTTCATTCATTTTTTTTTGAAAACTAGCTCAAAAGTGATACTTGGTACATTTGCTTAAAACTTAAATTGTTATGTTACAACCTTTTGTTTGAAGTTGAAAAATTACTTTACCAATAAAAACGCTTACAGTTTTTTTTTCGGTGACTTTATCGTTGAAAGATTCTGCAAATTTAAATCTCACTCTACTTTCTTATATTTGTTAAACTGGGTAGATATCACTAGTCCTTTAATATCCATAGTCCATAACATGAGTGAGTTACTTAGATCTATATTTTGTAAAGGAGTTACATGAATACTATTTCAATTTTTAATTTTTCAAAATGTAATTTACTGTTTGTTTTAGTAAGATAAATAATGGGTTCATATTATCAAAAAATAACTACAATGCTGAGATTTAATTGTAGATAATTTCATTGAAGACTAACTACAAATTTCTATACAATTCAAATCGATTAACCTTGTGAACCCAATCCTATCACTAGAATAACTGATAAGCAGTGTGTATTTTTACAATTAAGATGTTGGTTACATGAGGGAACAATCATTGATATCATCAGAAATTTCAAATAATTATATTTTTTTTTATACTAATAAAAGCATACATTTGACTAACTATTAATTTCACCTAGAGCATGTATCATCGAAATGATGTTTGTAGCTGCTTGAATTAACTACGAAATTGAATATACGAAGTTCTTGTTTTTTTTAAAAATATAATAGTGTATTTCAGATAGTAGTGAATGTACTTCTCATTGAAGAAAGCATATCGCCATTAGTTGACTGTTTGAATGTGAATGTATTATGGAGCTTTCTAACCTAGTTAATTTCTTCCCTTCATGTGCTGACGTGAATGGCAGAAGCTTCAACGAAAACAAATTTTCACATTTCTCACGATGAGTATGACTGACTGATATCAATTATCATAGGGATGTGTTTCATCTCAGATTAAAATGCATATGTTATCACTTGTTCTGGGGTAAGCATTCGACATTTTACAATTATACTGTGATCTTTCAAGAGATCTCTTCATGTTATTCACTGATTTCGTATTCACTCACAGTGTTACAGTGACAAGTTCTCTTTATATCCACCTATTATATGCTTAAAATAGAATGAATGAATGAATGAATGAAATATATCACTTTTTCTTTGGAGACTGGTATCCACTCGGCATTTCCATATGGTAAATACGCGAATCAGCAATCGAATACAGATTTATCGTTCAGTTTTTTATGAACCACATATTGTGGAAACTTACTTAATTTACTTACACCTGTTACCCCCAATCGAGTATAAGCCTCTAACCAGTATTCTCCAACCTACTCTGTCCTGGGTCTCCCTTTCCAGTTTTTTCCAATTTTTGTTCATTCTTCACATTTCTGTATCCATTTCTCGGCGTAATGTGTTTCTTAGCCTTCCTCTTTTCCTTTGACCTTGAGAGTTCCAATCCCTCTGCTGGTTCTGATCAATGTCTAGAACTCAGGTTACACCTAAACTCTGTATCTACAAAAAAACTATTTTTTTTTCAACCCATTACTATTGTGTTGTTCATTTATTCAGTCATTTCTCATAGAATAGGTATGTTTAGACAATAGTACAAAAACTTTTCTTTAGATAATGAAGTCCAAAAATCTCATCATATTTTATTGAGCCGTATAAAATTGTCAACGATTAATATGCATGAAAATTGAAAAAAAAAGCTGCACTTTTAATCTTTGGGTAAAGTAAAGTCAATAACTAATGATAACAGTTTGGATAAAGTGACATTATTAGACTCATCAAATTAGCATATTTATGTATATACTTTAGGAAATGCATTGTTATATGTTTGACGAATTCATATAATGTCATAACTGTTATTAGAGTGTTCTACTACATGAAATAAAGTATAGTTGTAGTAGATTGTAGAAATGAAATTCTCGTAAATTAATTCACTCAAACTGAAAGATCTGACAAATTAACTAGTCACTAGTTCTAACTAGTCACCTGTTTTTTAAAGTATTCATGAACGTTGTTGAACATTGTTTATTCTCAATGTATTTATCAGGAAAACAAATATTTAATAAGATTTTCAATAAGAAATCTCAACGTGTAGTTTATGAAAATTAAATCTTTTTTTTGTTCAAATAATGTTAATGTTAAATAGTAACTTTTTTGTATACATTTGAATTATATTATTAGTTTCAGATGATCATAGCATTCATCGTGTTCTTTTATTAGATAATTTTGTAGAGAGAATCTCATATTTTGAAAGTGATTTTTCACGAAATGATGTCCGCCTAAGTATCGTTATAAACTTGGTCATATTAGATAGTTGTTTTCATTTTGGATAGAAGCTACCAATTGATGTACAACATGATACAAGCTCAGAACTTTTAGGTCTCTTAGTGTATATGATGACATTAGATATCAGAATCAGAATCCCATATTTGACACTATTGATTTATGATTGGGTACTATTTTTATCCGTTGTCATCTATTAGTTTCAGTCTCACTGTGAACCGATCTCACCATTTGATTAAGACTCTGTGAAACTCATCTGGCAATCATTAGTGAACACACAATTATCATAGTTTGATTTTATGAAATGTTTGTATATTTTTAAAGATAAGCTTTTATTTGCATTTCTTTTACTCATATATAGTCACGATTTTGCACCAGACTAAGTTATTACATATGCATTATAGTTCGCTGTTACGTCATTTCTATTTCATCTCTACGTTTATTTTATTGTCCGACCTATTTTTTTTTAACGTCATCACCATGAATGTAATATACAGTTTCAGCCTTAGGTCATAAATCTAACTTCAAGTAATTAGCCTTATTGCACCATATCATTCGTTTCGTTTTTGTCTTGAACTTTACTAACATACGTACATATAACAGACCTTTGTTACTTAGATAATTGTAATTCATTGTAAATTTTTCATGCATATTTGAACCAGTGTTATTGTGTTGTTTGTAATCGAAAAGGTTGTTGTTGTTTTTTTCGACAACATAGTTCAAATTTCACCATCGATAAAATACTCACTTATTATTGTGCATCATTTATTTTCAACTGAATTACGTATATTTGTTAGTGAACTAACTTTTGAGACTAAGTTCAAATAAGAGTCAATATTAGTGTGTAGTTTTCTTCTCATTTCGTACTATCTGAATGTTATGATCAGGATTTGATTAATGATGTAAAATCAAATATCTGTGTGTCAGTGAAACCGATCGCATTATATGTCATCTTAACTTCTTAATTATATAGTGTGATTATTTTAGGAATATCAATCAAGATGCATGCATTTGATAATACTGCTCAGACTTATGGTCATTGACTGGTACTATATTTTCATATTTTTCTTAATTCACTCAAATGTTATTCAGCATGGTAAATCAAGGTTGGTGGTGGTGGAGACAGGAGATCCACCTACTCTCCGTATCTATTTAACACTCTAAGTTTAACTTGCCATGTGGTTCCGTAACCCTAAAGAAATGTTTCAGAAACATCGTTTTTCAGATGCTAGTAATCCGTGTAGAGATTCTACTTTCAGAGGATTTCTCAGCTATTAATTAATACATAATAAATTTCTACACCTTAATTTCTTTCAATGATAGACTAACAGAAATCTTACCTTCAATATAGGTACTATATTAGTTAGCTAAGCGGATTCAAGATTAGGTTTTGTTGCTTATCAGCCCACTAGAGATGACAGAACTCAACATTGTCAACTACTTTCCCGCAGATGACAGTTCTCTATGAGCAAATGAAAAAGTTATCGATGTTAAACCATTGGTTAATTCGAAGTCAGTTTCACAACTGTAAATAAAGCTAGTTGATTTAATCTCTGAGATTTTAAATTTTTACTACAACGGTTGAGCCATGCATCAAATGTGAGATTAGCATTATTTTATAAATTGAAAAACTCTTATTCGATCTGTGAAACAGTTTACTTTCATGTTTGTTTTGTATACTATCATAAGTCCCAATCTAACTTATTTTAGAAGACTAAATTCTATTAACACAAATTCAGGATAAACTTATTCTAATAAAATAAACCTTATTAAGATGATTAGTGATTGATACTTTGTCATTTATAGATGCATTAAAAAATCACTCCTGAAAACTTGTATGCACGGTTACGAAGAAACAATAATTCATAAGCTTGATATAACTTCCTCTTCATCAACTTACACAATCTAAAGACATTAGGATTCTCCTTCACGGTGGTCAGTTTTATTCGACTTCTAAACGTCTACTGATAGGAGAACGGATACAAAACTGTAAACATTTCAATTTTTTTATATTTCTACTTTGTATCAACAAAAAAAAACTGTATTCAATCATGTAGAAAAATATTCCGATAATTGTACTTTTAAAATGTGATTAAAATTTTTAACATTTAGTAACAGGTTTTTTTTTTCTCAAAGTCTCAATATTTATAGTTCAAAGTTTACTGTTACAAGTTGTGTTTTGTTTATTGAATGATAAAATGAATTTTAGTAATTTTATCAATGATATCGTTTGTTAAACAATTCAACATATAAATATGATAATGCAATCTAATATGACATAAACATTGATATTTTTATTTACTTACCGTTTATTTATTTCCATTTCACTTGATAAAGTTGACTTTAGCACCAGTTACAAAACTTTTATACATAATTAAGGAAAAATTACTTTTACGCTTGTGATTTGTGTTTTGTTCAAATTTCATTTTCAGTTTGGACATTTTCTTATTTATCGTCCTGGCTCTGTTCGTTTTGTTGCTTTACGTCAAGCAGCATTACGCAGTCAAATTATCATGTTATTTATTGGTCTTCTGTTAATTTTAATCTTTGTTTGCTTGATTGGATTTATTCTTTGGCGACGTTTTATGCAACATCAAAGAAATTATCAAGCTAAACTTGATGAAAAATATGCTGAACATGAAAATCGTGTTGTTCGTATATTTAAAGAAGGTTAGTGTTATTGGAAAAAATTTTTAGAGTTTAACAGTTTCTTTTGTGTTGGTTTATTATTAATTATTTCTACTGTTTCTAGCGATACTCTTTTCAATTTTTATAGCAATCAATTATGGTGATTCATTTGAAATTGCATTGAATTTTGAAGTGTTGTGAAGGGCAGTGTTTTATTTCGATAAAAATAAATGGGTAATCAACCAATTACAATGTCTGATCATTTTTTTTTATCAGTAAAATTTTAATACATGAATAATCTAAATGAATCTAATTTCTGCCCACAAACTTCCAAATCGATTCATTTCCTTCATCACAATAATCATGAGTATCTTCGATTGAAAATAGAAATTTTCATCAGCTCATAAAACATGTTTTTACGTCTTTTGCAAATACCTGTATTTTAATCAAACAGATTTAATCTCTTTTTGTTCATAACTGACATTCTCATAATTACACAGTTTTGAAACTATGAATCAATCAGTGTTAGACCACCATTAGAGATCTGGAAGCACTGGACGGCCGTTTCGTCCTGGTATGGGACTCAACAGCAGTGCGCACCCATGACTCCTGCACCCCCCCAGGATTCGAACCCAGGACCTTAGGTATTGTAGGCGAACGCCTCACCATCGGACCACTGAGCCGGTATCTAACGGTGTTAATGTCTAACTTGATCAATTCACGGAGTTGCGCAACCTCATACACAGTCTTCGGTAGTTACTGTCTACACCCGAACAGGTTGAACTTCACTGGTCACGTCTTCCCACTAGAACTCGGAGAAGATTCCTCACGAAGCTAGTCACTAGTGAGCACAGGTAATTTGCATTACGGGGTTGTGAAGATTGTTAAGTCCCATACCAGGACGAAACGGCTGTCCAGTGCTTCCAGGTTTCTAATGGTTGTCTAACATTGATCGACTCATGGTTTCAAAACTGTGTAACTTATCAATCTTCACAACCCCGTAATTCTCATAATTCTCAATTTCTATCATGCTAAACATATGTACTTATAGAAAAAAAATTGACTAGAGTTCAAAATATAAATTGAATGGAATGTTGACATTGAAATCTAATGAAAATTATCATGCTTGATATGAAACTTGTAAGTCCGAAGTTCAGTAAACAACATGTTTGTTATGACAAAAACAGTATCCAATCAACCTTACCTTTACCTATTAGTTCTCGAGCTTGAAACTCTTTGCATTAAAAATAATGACTAGAAATTGTTATATAAATATATCTGGTTTACAAACTACGTTATTAGAAACCTAGAACATTTGGTGCTGATGCAACATATATCGTTTATATGTGCTAATAAAATAATTGACTTACTTTAATAGGATAACTTTTTCAGACTTATGTTTCTTTTTCTTTCAAAATTAAAATAGATTTCATGGAATTACAAACAAGTATGCAAGAATTTTCTCAGGAAGTGAAAAAGCATAATCTACCTTATCGAGATTATAGAACATTTTGCCTATTTTCCTTATTCCCTGAATATCATTGTGAATTAATGAATCCAATTAATCCACATGTATCCATTCCATTGTTAACTAGAACTGATCTAACAGTTAAATCATTGAATAGTGTAAATTTATCAAGTGCATTTGTGCCACCTCATCCATTACTATCACCTTTCACAGTAAGTGAATTTAATTTCAACTTATGATATTGCTTTAATATTCGTAATATTTCTAAAGGTCACTCACTGAACACCCGCTTCATTCTATTATTGACTTTCTTTACAATGATCATTTCCCACGACCTCTTCAGGAATCGAACCCAGAACTAGGGCTCATAGGCGGCAACGTATCACCTTTAGAATACTGAGTTATAATCTGATGATTCACATTTACAACTTCAGTCTAATCTCGATATTTCGTCGCCATTATTCGTGGCTATTAGTGACACTGTAATGTAACCTATAATCATTCCGTTAGAGCATCCGTCAATTCATATATCTGTAGTTGTGTTTTTTCAAACAAAAAAACATGAAATACATATTTTAACTCATAGTCTCATAGATTTTCAGTGTGTAATTGTACTTACTTTTAGAAATTATTTGAATTATTTCTTTATCGATATTCTAGATTGAATTTTAGTCAGTTTTTTTCTATTTGTGTGCATATTGTACAGATTACCTCCATATAAATATTTTGTCACAAGTTCTTATCAAATAAAATGGATTAAGGCTATTGATGAAATCGAGGACACGGCTATCTGAAGCGAGTAGTAGCTTAGTGGATAACGCTTGAACGTTTAAAGAGAAAAGTACTGAGTCTGGTTAACAATCGGCATAGATGTAAGTATATTCAACTAAGAGGTCCCAAATAGAATAAAACTAGTGTCTCCAACTATTTGTTCTACAAACGTTTGTGACGAAATGTCTATATCGAGGTAATCCGACCATAATGCGTGTATGATAACAGACCAATCAAAATTCAGTCGTGGTTTTGTTTATGTTTACTTCTCAAGTTATCAAGCTCGTTTCAGCATAGTTGTTATTTGCTAATTACATCTTTGTGCTAACGTGACTTGGCAACATGAACTGATGTACGTACTTACGAAGTTCTACGTTGCTATTGATTGATTTATTGATTGTTATGTGTAAATTATTGAGTTATTAGCCCTTCTACTACTTCCGATGGTTAGAATACTGATTTATTTAGTAGTTCGTGCGTGCTAAGTCTCATGGATCAGCACTAGTGGTACATAAACTATACAAAATGTTTCTAAAAAAGTATATAATGTGACTATTTTATATCACCAATTAAATTACATACAGTTTTGATACTTGTAAATAAATTCTCAGTACTCTTTGGAAAAATTCATGAAAACTAACCGAAATATTATATGGAAGTTGTAACTAATCTTGTAGAAGTTTAGAAAGATGCTAGGTTTACTAAATGTTTTTATAATAGTTCTACTTAGGCATTCATTCCAATTTATAATTTATCTAGTACTTTATGTTTTGCCATGCAATTTATTTCTAAAGGTTCATATTCGAGCACATGATGATGCAACCAAAGGAATCTCGTTATTTCATGCACTTTTATGCAATCGTCAATTTTTATATCTTTTAATTCATTTAATTGAAGAGGATAAAAACATAATGGCTAAAGATAAATCTCGTATTGCTTCTCTACTCTGTGCAGCTTTACAACCAAAAATGGATTATTTGACAAGGTTAGTTTGCAAAGATTGATCAGTTTGACGATAGTGTTCATATTATTCACTGAATTTAGTAAATTGAATATTGAAACCTGGAAGTACTGAACATCTTCTCCTCAGTAGTGTTTACTCACAACTCCTCCAGGGACACAACCTATACGTAGAGGTGATAGATGACAGATTAACTTTAGAATATTGAATTATAATCAATTTGGTTCAATTTTACAACACTTCAGTCAATTCGTCAATATTGCACTTCGATTATTCGTTACTATCAGTTTTATATCGTGATTATGTGTACAATAATAAATCCATTGTATCTTGTTTCCTACTTGTTGCCGAATAGTTTGACGCATTATTTACACATTATTCATGTTACGTTAATAAATTAAAACAACACTTGAACCATATCTCAATTTTCTTGTGGTAAAGAATACGATGGAACTATTAGATATCGTTTTATTTTCTAACTACATGTAATTGAGTATTCTTTTTTTATGTAGATGACATAAAAAAATGTGTATCAATTCATTTAATGTAAGTGATTGGACAAATAAAATTCATCATGATTATTATGGGGTTGAAAAAGTTAATATTTGTTAGTTCACTTTAATAGTCAAACAGTTTAGGTTAGATGATTACACATGGTGTTGTGAACTAACTAGCGAATGTACTTTGTTATTTCTCATCAGGATCAATCAGTCCATATTACAACATACAGCCTGGATTTATGTACATATGTGTATATATATAGTCCAAAGTTCATGTATATACAATTTTTCCATATGTAATTTTATATTGTTTACTAATAATAATAATAATAATAATAATAATAATAATAATGATAATAATAATTTTATTTGTATATGTTACATTATCAGAAAGATTACAATCTAATAATTATTTTCAATGTTTATACGCTAAGAAATTATTTCACAGGTCATATGTTGTGACACATATTTTCATTGTGATTATTAATAAATTTAATCGTGATTATTTTCTGATTAATAGCCATTAAAAATTTAGAGAGTAAGGGTGGGCGCGTCTGACATTGAAATTAACAAAAATATTGTTTTTGTAATGAAAAAATCAAAATCAAAACCAATTTGTATTTCATGTGATGATTAAAAGTGTGAAACACGAAATACCGTTAATGTGTGTATGTATTTCTATGCCAAACAAAAAAAAAATAGACTAGTTCGTGATGATATCAATTTCTAATCTAAATATTTCCTGAAAAATGTTTCTTTCTTGTTTTGTATTTTTTTTTCCCTTTTCCAGTGTAATGTTTGATTTAATGACTGATTTTTTGTATCAACTTCATCTTCAAGGCGATACACGTTTAGCTACTGCTTTTCGACGTGCTGAAACTATTGTTGACAAAATTTTATCTAACTGGTTAACATTTCTTTTATATAAATTTATTAAAGTAAGCATGTTATATTTATGATATTAATCATTCTTTACATCATTTGAACTAAAGTACTTATCTAAGTATGTAATATCTGAGTGAAATCCTGCATTATGTCTTTGTACTACAACAACATATAACATAGATATTGTATGCATTTAGTATATACTTTGTATGCATCAGAAATTAACTACCATGTTGCCTTTAATATCTTTCTCTTTTCTATCATATATGAATGTGTTTGTTGGTTTAAAGGGTTTAAACTACCATTTTATGCATACGTTCATATGAGGACAGATTTCAAAGCATTTAATTTTCGAACTTCATCATACAAAAATTGTGCTTATATGTTTATAAAATGAACTATGCAACAATTTTGAGAGAAAAACAACACGCTAATATTGACATAATCTCACCAGTTTATTCTTAGAAATGCAAACACTGTTACTTAACAGTTGAATTGTAGCACAATTTCTTTCTCATTACTTTCCTAATCTTATTGTTGATTTAATGAATCTCCACATGTGATCATTATATAGTATACAATGGATTATTATAAATTTATTAATGATTTTGATAGTCTTTTTTTTGGTATAAACTATCTTTTCAGTGGTTTACAATTGTTTCTTCTTTTAATGTTTCATTTAGAATAGTGTTGGTGAAAATTTATTCTATTTTTATCGAGCTCTTCTACAACAAATCAATATGGGTCCACGTGATGCTATCACTGGGAAAGCTAGATATACATTAGATAGTTCATCATTACTTCAAACAGAAATGACTGGAAAGCAAATTGTAAGTAATGTAAACTCTTCACTCTTGATCTGTATGTTCGCACGTATGTGTATGTGTGTAATACATGTTTCATATTTGTTTGTTGTTATGCGTTGTTTTTCACTTCTATAATTTCAGTCATTTGAACCTGTTTTACAATGTACACAAATAATTAACTATTCCATTTCAATTTTAGACACTTTATGTTGAAGATCCTCAAAATTTATTTGGTTTTTCTACTTCATCTATTTCTGTCAAAGTACTTGATTGTGATACAATTACTCAAGCTAAAGAGAAAATTTTAGATGCTATCTATAAAAATAAACCATATTCAAAACAAATTAAATCTATACAATTAGAATTGAGTAAGTTATTGTCAGTCTTAGTTTATCCTCACTGTTATAATAGTTCTTTGCTTTAATTACAAAAATTGTTAATATTTATAAAATAATCTTACTTAGGAACAATTGTTTCTTTGACAAAAATTGTTAACAGTTATCATGAAAGCCGACGCGAATTGTTGTATCTTTATATCGTTAGTCAGTAAGAATTAGAACAATTTGTATTCAACAACTCACTAAGTTCCCCTCCTGAAATTGTGGAGATCAATGACTTAACAGGTTAAAATATTCAATTTTCAATTAGGTAATAGTTAATGATTTTGAACTTTATTTCTCTTCTATATTACATTAGCCTTTAATGAGTGAACAAACTTGTACTGTATATGTTTGTTATATAAAATTATATTAGCAAAACGAAATATTAACATAAACAAGATTATGGATGTAAGAAATCTGTGATAAAATTAGTTTCAAATAACTGAGCTTTCTAAACAGAGTAGATACACAAGTGACCATATAACAGCGCGTTTAATTGATATTTTATAATTGCTGAGTGATCGCTTTCAAGGAAAAGGATTACTAAGAAAAAAGTTCATAGTTTCGAAGTACTTTTTCAAGAAAACCAATGCATTCAGTCGAATAGCAATAACTTTTGTAGTTAGATTATACAATACTAGTAGTGATAATAGTAATAGTACTACATTATGGTTTATTCTCTATTTATTCCTGTGATCATTTTTCCAGAGAGATTGGATGAACAACGAGTTATCGCGCAAAACCCTGGTACGTGTTACTTTCTAGATTGTTTTAACTTTATTTTTAAATTCGGTTTTTTATGTAAGTCATCATATATAGATGTGTTTCTTCTATCCGTAATTACTATCCGACTTTTCAATAGTAGGTAGTTCGAGTTATTATTTGAATTTACAAAGCAAGAAACATTAGTTTACTGAAGATACTTCTTTTTGAACTTATGTCATACTGTTTCACAACAAAAAACGGAATCAGTTTGTTGATAATAAGAATAATTTGCTGAACATTATAACAACCGAAGTAACATTATTCATATTCGTATTCATATCTAGAAACTGAAAATGTAGTTGTTATGTACTCGAATATTCATTATGAGTTACATAAATTATTATCATTGCATTACTGATGTGTGGTTTAGTTGTAAAGTCACTCGAATTTTAGCCATTTAAATGCAAGTTGAAACTCCGCTGCATCGACTTTGATTTGTTCAGCCGGCTAGTATTGCTCTTACCCTTATGCTTAGAATGGGGCTCATATTACACAAATCTATATACTCATAGCTAGAAGTAACGAGTCAATACTACTGTAGGGAAGGAGAACACAGGTGAGGGCAACCAAATTGTATTTATCGCAAATTACAGAGTTACTCAGTAAAATAGGAAAACTATATCGTAAACGGTTAATTTGCAAATCTTCAATCTATCATCAATCCATTGTCTGACATTTCACTATTCATGCGTTTCATACAAATTCCATTGAGTTCCCACTCTTCCTTTGTTGATCTTCCCCCATCTTCTGCTGCCAGGCATTACGTTTTCACTCGCGTCATATACTACTTATAAGTAGCGCGCACCACACTAGGACTAAGAGAGAAATGAAAAAAATTGTAACTTTAGAAAACCATGTTCAGACAATAGGGTTGAATGAATTTCCTTAGTATGCATAGCTAGTTCTGATTTCTGTAAGAGTGTGACGAAATTTTCAACATTATTAAAAAAAGATAAGAACTCATTGTCTTTCACTAAAAATAGATTTATTCACTGAACCACTGTTTTTTTTGTTTGTTAACTTACCTGATTAGTTCACTTGTCACTTTTTCTTTGCTTTGAACATGATTGTTATTTTCATTGTTTCTCTGCATAGTATATTTTCATCTACTATCAAGTTCTGATAAGTTAATTTCTATTAAATTTAATCAAATATTAATATGATTGGGTTTAGTTAACTGATATTTTATGTCAATATTATATATTGTTACACTAGTCCTAGTTAGTAGCAGTATTAATCGTAGTAAGTGGTATTTTTCATACAACACTATTCTGTTAATTTTTGCGTTACAAGACATTTTTCTTATGATTTATCTATTATTTTTTACAGAAAATGAATTCTTCACTAATCAAATTTTATCAGATTGGGATGTAAAAATCCGTTCGAATCCATCAACTTCAATTGCTCATGAAAAGTTACCATTTCGATTGAACTGTATTGCAGATTATCATGTATGCAATAAATTTTATGTTATTTATTTATATACTTAAAGTAACAAGTGTATTTGACCATTGCCTTTTTTTTAACCGTAACTGTGTTATCACAATTAAGGCTTTTTTAAACGTATATGTGTTCATTGCTTTACGTTGATTAACTTGTAATACGAAAACTAAAGGTCTATTATATACATTTATAAGTTCATTTGATATTTCATGACTGGTTATCTTGGCTGCAAAAGGTTAATACTTTCTAAACGCATCATAGAACATTACACGATGTGACTTTGAAGAAGGGAATGTAAAACAATCAGTAGTTCCATAAAGGAACACTTAATCGAATCTAGGCACGTTGTCTCAAAGAAATTATCCGTCGAAATACTCTACTCAGTCAAAAGAATGGTAGGTTAAATAGAAAGCTTATTCACTAACAGCTAGACATTGACAATTTGTCAATTCTTGCCTAAACCCTGCACGTACAAGTAATACGTCCAGCCCTTTATCCTTCCATTGGCTTAATGGCTCTTCTCCTGTATAGTTTGACATTTATTTTGTGCTTTAATTAAACCATAATCATTTTTTATTAGGCTTAAATGATTTTCATGATTATTATTCAATTCTTATTATTATGACCTTTACGTTAAATAATCAATTATTTGTTATATATTCCTGACCCATAAATTATTTTCATCTCCCTATTGTTCTCTTAACCTCTTATTCATTACATCAACTCTTTTTTGATATTTAAAATCTTGAATCATTTTATTATGCAATATTTTTCTATTCTATTGACTCATATTTATTAGTACATGAATTCGTCGAATTTAAGGAATTTTCTGTATTTTTTTTTAAAAAAAAAATTGTTTTAGATAGAATTTATACAACCTGTTAGTTGTTCATGCATTTCTTTAGTCAATAAAATCATTCATTTACAAACGATTGGGTTTTTTTTTAAAAAAAAAATTAAAAAAAATACTTTTATTGACTTTGCATTTTTGTAATGCGTAAACACAAAAATTCGCAATCGTTTTTTTTTCTTCCTTAAAATCACCTATTAGAATTCTTATTATTATGACGATTATTATGCTTGTAACTACTACATGTATTTCTGTAAAAAAACTTCTCAACATACCTTTAATTAAAAAAAACAAAACAAACTAGATAGACACATAATTAAAGTTTCTTTTGAGCAAGAGTACGAGAGTTAATTAATTCATAACTGTTACAGATAATTGAATTATGAGTCATTTATATTTTGAATAATATTTCATCACATCATTAAATAGCAAATATCAATGAAGTAATTTCTATTTTCTGGTTGACAAAAATCGCTGTATGTGTTTACACATTGATTGAATTAAATAATCGCATTTCTTCAAATTGTTTATCAGTATGTATATGTAAACCAAACACTATTGATTAGTGGTAAAGTTGATCAGTTTTTAACATGTAACAGACGATCCAGATCATTTTGTTTGAATTCCTGACTGATAATCCATGATTCTTGTATGTTATCGACAAATCAGAGAATTGATTCCATTGTCAGAGAGATATTTCTATTACACATATTCCTTAGTTCTTTCTGAATTAAAGTTCCTTTGTTTCACTTCCGACTAATTTCTATTCATCTGCACTTTTATGTGTAGTGTGGCTCACTCAAATGAATATATATATTTTTGACATGGTCTACGTTGTTTGCAATTGACTAGCTTATAAGTTATTCATATATATTTAAAATAGTTGATATAATATCACTTCATGCAATTTATTTTATATTATTAGCTTAAAGATAAATCACATGTTGCACTGGTTAGTTGTGAATTTACTCAATCAAATCATAGTCATTTCACATCGGATGTAATACAATGTAAGTTTATCTTTTTGTTCTTTTTATACAGATATAGTTTTTATTTGATTTACTATTTATCATTATTCTTGCTTTAATGAATTTGTTTGTGTCTAGAATATTTACAGACAAGTAAGTTATGTTGTAAGTAGCTTCTTCATTTGAATGTACTTAGAACACGTTAGAATCTAAGTCTATAATGTCATAAATATTCATTGTATGAAATGTAAAAAGCGAAGAATAGTACTTGCATATAGTATTTATAAACTCAAAAGATCTGAATAGAATCAAAAAGGGATTTACACCGTTTAGTCGTTAACTTTCCATAACTTTATATGTATATTGTTGACATATAACTTAACTATCCTGTTTCAAACATTAATTATTCATCCTTACGGAGTGTCAAGTGAACACTATTGAGAAGTTCTTTACCAAAAGGAAACACTTATATTGTACTCTCGACTTTTCAATGATTTCCCTAATTGATGTTTATCTATGTCGAGAATCACTGACAAACTAGACTAATCTATACATTTGTCTCTTTCTAAACTATTTAATCTTGTATTCGATTATTTTACCAGTTCGTATTTCTTGAAGTAAGTGTTAATTTAAGCTATGAATTATTGTTTTTTTTTTTTAATTAATAAAATATTGAGTTCAAGTAAGGGTAAATGTAAATAAATTGGTCTTTACTTTCGATATGCTTATTTTTTTTCAAAATTTATAATATAAAGCAACGTTAATATTTTTAACTGAAACCGGTAAAGACAAATATTTGAAATTTGCATGCATTAATGATATTGTAAAAATATTTACTAGATGATTGAAGCATTCAATTAAGAGAAGTTATATACATGAATTGGAGAAAAATAAAAGAGCCATTAACATCATGAATTATGTAAGTATGAAGACATATAAAAATGAATTACGTCGATCTTAGACAATAAGATGAAAAATAATGAGACAGTAGTAAAAATGAGCTTAAAGTATTATACATCAATCACCGTTTATTCTAATGAAAAGATTGAAAGAATAAAAGAAGTTCATAAAGTGATAAAATTCTATTATTGCACAATAATAATAATAATAAATTTATCATAATAGAAATAGATTGACAGTTATCTTATTAAATGAAATCTCAGCACCGACACCAAAGGTTCGATCAACCTACGTCACTTATGGCGTAGACGAGATATCCATTTGCTGATTAAAGGACGAGTGAACTGCGCAGTAGTTCGCTTCGTCCTAATTCATGGCTGTGAAACATGGCCAGTCAGAGTAGAAGATATTCGTAGGTTGCTTGTTTTTGATCATAGGTATCTCACAGGCATTGCTCGTATATCCTCGGACAACCGAGTAAGCAATGCTGCTGTTAGGAAACGGGTGCTAGGTAAGGATTGCAAATCAATAGATGAAGTATTAAAACTTTATCATTTGCGGTGGTTGGGACAAGTATTACGAATGCCCAACCCTCGTCAAGCCATGTTTCGTGGTGTAGGAGTAGGTTGGAAGAAAGAAAGGGGAGGCCACACCAAAACACGGCAGAAATCCATGAAGTCACTGATGACTTGATTAAATCATGTTGGTTGGTGTCGACTACCTAGTTGAGGGCCTCGAGACGAAAGTAACCGATGGTTAGAGACCCAGAATGACATGGCTCAAAAGTGTTTGCAATGGCTCAGGTGCATTAATTCTTTGCGTCCTTCCGAATTCTGAACTTCCTAATTCCTCATCACTTTATCTTTTTCTGTTTAAGTTTATTTCACTAGATTCTACTTCTTGAATAATATCTTCGAACCTTAATCTCTCCGATTACTGCTAATACTTTTACTAACTCTACTTCTATGGGATTTGAATTGACAATTACCACAATTACAATGTGGTATGACAACTTTGACTGATGTACGTACATACGTACGTAGTTCTACGTTGCTTTTGATTGATATTAAATGATTAGGTTATATATATTTTAAGTATGATAAGTTGTGGAGATTATTGAATTTTGTAGTTTGACATCATAGACTGACTTCGGTTAGGCAACCGTTGAAAGGCAGAAAGAATTAGACAGATGTTTCATTCTCGTATGAGATTCCTCAGGAGTAGATTACCACTTCCGAAGAGTTTCATAACAGGACTAAATATTTGACCGTTAAATCTTATTTGCCAATTTTTTCCACTGATTCCTAAAACTGTGCTTGTTCAATGTTATAATAGGGTAAAAATTAAGCCTGTTAATTAAACATTAGTTTCATTAGGGAAATAAATAATTTATCAGTTACCATATTCGGTAGTTGGTTTCTAATCATGTTTATTTTTTGTGTTTCATACTTTCTGCATAAAGGTGTCATTTTGTAAGAGGCCAAGACCTGTTTTCAATATCTGCTGTGTCATCTGATATCAAGTAGGGAATATTGGTTGACTTGAGCGACTGAGACACATGTTACGCGAGCTAAATCATACCTCGCTGGACACTCGATGTCTGCCAAACAAATTCATTGAATTAGTTGACAGCAAAACTGAGCTGTGTTATCAGGCTTAGGCCTCCCGAAGATTGAAACCAATATTTGCGGATGTTTTAAAAAACCATTAAGAATCAGTCTTAGTCACACAGATTTATTCACTCTTTATCTTCCTTTAGAAACTTGTATTTCTTACTCCATGATTTCGTGCTTTCCTTTAGAATCATGTAGTCTGTATCTAATTATTTCCACTACTACTAATACTGCTACTGATTCGGATACACTGGATTTGTCTGGACAATTTCAGTTCTTCGGTGTCATTGTTGTGTAACAACTCGAACCAATGCATACATATGCTAGAATCTACCGTACATATGATTGACTGATACAGCTTTATTTAGAGGCATATGTTAATTATTCAGTTCCATAAGCACCCATCACCACTTAGACATATTGTATCGTTACATATCAGTTGATTGAGGCATTTAGTACTCTCATTTTGATTATATAGTGCAAGTGACTAATTTATAACGAAGTCATTAGGGTTGGATAAATGATCAGACACTAAACAACCTCTATTATAAGTAAAATTTTCACTTTCTACTAATGATAATTTTCATCTTGCTTTCAAAAGAAACTAAGTAGCTACCGTTAGAACTTAACGAATAAAGAGTTCTTTACAATTCGAGTCATAGCTAGACATTATCGAAAACCTGTAAGCACTGATCGACCGCTTCGTTCTTGAATGGGACTACTTCACAACCCTGCACCTGGGAATCAAATCAAGGACCTTATATCATATCCTTAACCTTTAGACCTCTGAGCAAGTTTCCAGGTTTCCAACGGTATGAAAATTCTACAATCATCAATCTCCTTACATTCAAAATGTTGTTGTTTATATAACGTTACTCATATGGAAATAAGTAGGTTTGTCAGAAATATCAATGTTTATTTCTTACATCAGACGTTTGTTTGCTTGTAACTTGGGTCTGATATCGAGAAAATTCTGCCATCAATATTATTTTTTGATGAGAAAAACTATAATTTATGGGTTCATCAATCAGATTTAAGATAGTGAGTCCAGCATTTTGGCATTAAATTCACTCATGCGCATGGCCTAATACCACTTCGGCAACATAGCTTATGTCAGTTCGTCATAATAACCCGAACCATAATTCCTAACCTTAACTTTTAACTCTAAATCCTATTTCTAATTCCTCACTCTACTGTCTAACCCACTATAGACTCTAGTAAATAGGTAAATTTTCTCATGGTCACCTTGATGTCTCTCAAAAGTTATCCATCAATTACAGCCTCACCCTAAAAACATTTATGTTACTTATTATTTGATGAAATATTTTCCACCTTTCTTAATACACACTTCTACACGTCATCATATTATAAAGTTAGAAAAAGAATCAATTATTACTTTTCACTGTAACTCTTCATCTTGTTACAGTTTACTTTGTATAAGTTTTTCAGATAGTTTTGTTATATATACTTGTGTAGAAATTGATAGGGTATATCACTTTTATAGACAAGCTGATGTTCCCTGGTCATTTTTTTGTTGACTAATTCGATTTATACACTAAATAAATTAAGGTAAATTGAGATAAATTATTTAAAATGTTTTCTTGTTCTAATATGAAATGCCTTGTAGTAACGATTAACTAGATTTCGAATTCTCTCATAAAACATGAAATATTAATGTCAATCATTTTATGCTTTATTCATTTATCTTCAAAATATGTATTACACGTTACTGACTTCAGATACATATGCATTTCATTGTTTATGATTACATTACATTTTCATTATTTTAATTCATTTTCACGTTCTAGTCTGTTTAGAATGATGTCAATAAATACGTATTTTGTTTTTTTCGACTTACTAGCTAATGATTTTCAAACTCAATCAACAATAACTCAAAATTCACGTTTTCTTATTGATCCAGTTCTTCATGTACCTCCTGTATCTCGTCCACTACCACCAATCATCTCTCCTACTGATGCTACAACGTCAGTCAAAAATAATACGGACCAGTTAAAGACTATCACAAGCCCTACATCTAATGTTCATATTAACAATGATCAATTAAATCTGTCAAAATTCTCTACTCCATTTGAAGAATCTTTTTGTTTTCGTCCAGTTGGAACTCCTGATCCTAAATTGTGGTATCATTTAGAGTGGACAGGTAACCACAATGATAATATCATGGATGCTAGTGGAGTGATTAAGAGATCCAGTAAACTCCTAAATAAAAGATCTAGTAATCTGCAACGTTTGTTTTGCACATGCACACATACAGATGACTATTCTCATGTAAATGACTGTTCAAGTAATAAAGACGATACTACAACACGTAATTTACATGAAAATGAAATAAATAAAATATGTTCAGGATGCACAACACGTTATCCTCTTTTATCACCTCCCGAGGTGAATTCTATAAAGAATCATGATATTTTACTATCAGTCAATAATTCCAAATGTTTGAAAAAGTGGAAAAAACATCACAATCGCTTGAAACATAGAAAAGATAGATCAAAACATTCCGTTTTCAAAGGAGATAAAAATGAATTAATGCTATCTGAAACTTCGAAAAGTTTGGATCATCTCATTGAAACATTACCAAAAGAAGTGTTCTTTAATCGTCTTTTGTTAACACGTGTAAGTTAGCGTTGTTTATGTTCCTCAAATCACTGTAACTCAGTTTCTCAAGTAGATGACAATTACAAACAAGTATTTCTTGGGAACTAAACTGTAATTTTGTAAAATAACAGTACATGTATACTACAATAATCACATACAAGTTCATAAAATTGTTTTCACTAAAGCAAACATATTTATATTGAATACAAAATTAAAGTGAAATTCACTCTAGAAATTTACATGTTAATTCACATCTTTGTAATTTTTTCTACTGGGATAATTACAATCTTTTTACTGCAGATATTTTTCATCTGTTAAATTGTCCAGTTATACTGGTCAGTATTTCTCACTAAGGTTCTTTTTCTTAAAGGATAAAGTTTCTAACCCCATATCCAACCCTCTTCGTTTAACTGGATTTAGGATTGGCAGTCGCAGCCTTAAAAGGTCTCTTTGCATAGTTCATTTAGTCATACTGTATCATTTGAATATAGTTTGTTATTACGCATATTCACATATTCAGTCGACTAATCATTAGTCCCATCTTCTAAAGCCGATTGTGTTAGGATTTTCGAGGGCAGGGTAGTTGAAGGTTAGCTCTACGATAGAACTATGATTTTGACTATTTTAAATCAGTTATGCGTTCATCAAATAATTTTAATGCCTTTGTATTCACACTCACGATTGGTATTCATGGCCATGAATTCAATCATATTTTTATACTCATTTGATCTGTGTATATCTCCCATTATATTGAAATATTTCATTTTAAGAAAACTAATTTTCTAACTTCAGTATATTTATGTGAAATTAGTCAAACAATTTTAATTCTCGATTATATAATGAATAGAAAGTATTCAAGCAAAAACTATGATAATTCATAAAAGATTCTGAATTAATTAACAATAGTTTAATCGTTTTGGAAAGTACTTGTTCTACGGAATCAAATCAATTCAATAACCAACTATGTTGACGTATCACAAAATTAATTATGATGATATTCATTCCGATAGGAATTTATAAATCAATCAATATAGGATAGTCCATAAATTGATTCAAAGAATTCATGTTGATGATCACATTCATATCATGTTATTTTTTCAGACAGTAATGAATTTAATTCCTATCGTGTTATAATCAACGGTGACTGATTGTCATCATCCCATGTTATTTTTATAATAATAATAATAAATATGTATTCAAATAATTTCTTACCAGCAAAACTGTAGACTAGTGTTGATCCAGCTCAAAACTTTTTGAAACTTAATTTATAAGAGTATATCTGCGCACAACTCCATTTTTAATCATATATTTCTATAGATAATTCGAAACTTTAGTTTATTTTCCTGCTAGAAAAATATTTAATCATACCTTTATGGTTTATTTCTCTCTCTCTGTTTGTTTGTTTCCCTATTCGGTTTTAATTTCAATATCAAGTTGTCTGTTACAAAGTATATGGATAAATTATTCGAAGTCATATTTAGCAGTGTTGTACAATCGCATAGTTTACCAGCTCCAATTAAATATCTTTTTGATTTTTTGGATGATAAAGCAATTAAACTAGGTGTACATGATTCGAAAATAGTTCATGCTTGGAAATCTAACTGGTTAGTTGATTATTGTGATGTGATTGTTATATTTTTTTTCAATCATATAATTAATTTACAATTCATAATATTAATTTTTTTGTTGAGAATTTATTTTTACGAGCTATACAAGTTAAAATATGGTAAACAATGTTTCTAGTATTATTACTTTGAATTAATAGCCAGATGTATATGTGTAGTGACGGAGAACAAAGGTGAGGGCAACCGAATCGTATTTATCTCAAATTACATAGTTAATTGGTAAAATAGAAAAACCATATCGTAAATCGTTAATTTGCAAAAATATCAATCCATCATATCGAACTGGACTGTTCCTGTTGCAAGTGTCAATCCGTTGTCTGACATTTCACGTTTCATACAAATCCCATTGTGTTCCCTCTCTTCCCTTCTTGATCTTCCCACATCTTCTGCTGCCAGACATTACGTTTTTACTCGCGTCATATACTACTTATAAGTAGCGCGCACCACATATGTACTGAATAAAACATTTAAGCTTTTTTTCTAACCTCATATAAACATTTGTTAAAATGAACTATTCGATAGAAGTTCGGCTCAAATTATGTGCAAAAAAACGTATTATACATCAAAATTATGTTTAAAATAATCCCATCGATTGAGTTTGATTACCTTGCTCTGAAAAATCTCAGTCTAATTATTAGTTCACGTGAATTATTGAAGTTCTGTGAATTTCGATCGCTGAGATTATCTCAAATACAATTTTTTTTTAAAATTTGTATTTAGTTTTAATTCATAGGATTTATAGAAATGTACTTTCATCTTGCTAAGTGAATTTTTAAATTATCATGTTCAGGTTGGAGAAAAAACAGCTATAATTGATAAAATTCATGAGTTGAACTCCTGTATAATTAGTTCTATGTATTATTATATCAATCCGTAGGTGCACGTATATCTGTTTTTGATGCATCAATCAAACTTATCAATATTTTCACAAATTTCTTCGTATATTTGTCTATTTTTTTAGTGTTCATTACTGTTAATTGTGATTTGAAATTGACTACATTTCTTTTTTTTCACACAATGATTATCCATTATTGAATGAGCCTTCTAATGTAGTATACTCAACATATTGTAAATACTCAAGAATCAGGTACCCTTTTTATCATCTCCAGTCGGTGATTGTGATGACTGTACTTATTGTCGTATATGATTGGAACCTCATAACAAATGAAAGTTGGCATTATGTATAATACTGATTAGGAAGGTTACTAGCACAAGGTCAAATAGCTGTTCTCTATCTAGTATTTCTCAGTTTTCCGACCTATATGAGTTTGTCGGAAAATGTATCTTTAGAGCAGTTGGTTTACATCCAGAAATGTAATTGACAATCATCATAAGTATTATTATTAGTCCCTAAAATTATCTGAAGTTTAGGATGTTAAGTACTCATCGTGTCAATTAATTATCACTAACTGGTATTGGTTTGTAATTGGTGTTTGTTTCGAAACCAAACTAAGCCTTTGACGTCTTGTTGAAATGAAAATATCGTAATCGTTTCTGTATCAATGTAGTCATTCTGTTTTTGGAAACCTGGAGTATAGCGTCAGTAATTCTTTTTTTAGTTCACACTATTTAAATCCTAACAGGACTTCGAAGAATTAGGAATAAATAAAGTTATTGTTCGTTTTCCAATGATATCACTTAACATACGATACAATTTTGTATTTATCAGATTAAATAATTTCTCCTTTCTTTATTCAGTATACAAATGCGCTTCTGGAATCAATTTATTACCAATCTGGATTATATATTTGATATTCCGTTGTTACGTAACACTGCATTAGAACGTTCATTTCATGCATTCAGTCATGCGATGACTTATGCATGTGCACCAAATAAAGAAAAAATAACTAAAGATTCATCTTGTGTAAAACTGCTTTTTGCTCCGGACATTTCTGTAAGTTTGCGGTGAAGTTCATGATAAGTATTGATTTTTAAACCTGAACAAAAATGAGACGCTTTTAAATCATACTTTTCTTGTATGTACGCAAGATAAATATGGCCTTCTTTTTGTGATGCCATTAACTTTTAACGATAGATAACTCTAGGCTTTAATTTATAATACATTATTTTGATCAATAACATAATAGTTCATCTTTGAATATAATGCACCACTATATAACGTTGAACTTCATATAAGCGAGAAGAGTATGAGATTGAAATGTAATATATTATGCGTCTGGACAGTACCCCCAAGACGTCGCCAACTCTTACCAATAAGTCAAGTTGTAGTGGTTTAACACTTGGATCTTATATTTTACACTACTACTGGTAATGGTTTTTCTGAACCTATTTTTGTTCATGCGTTTCGTATCAGTCTCATACATTATACAAATAAATCAGTGATTTACCGAAAACGAAATCTACAAGTCCTTCCATAAAATATTTCACCAATATGTTTAGAGTGAAACATTATGGTAAACATTAAAGTGGATGAGAAAATGTAAAACATTCAAGTGTGAGTCGGGCTGCTAAAAGGTTATTCTCAATTTGTTGACAATCTTCTATGAATTACCTTTAAATAAATAAATTTGAAGAAATATGAGCAGATTGTGTTTAGCATGGATGCAAATCACTTGATAGTTTGCAATTGTAAGCTATTCCGTTTTATAAATCCAATATATGCATACACGCATACCATTAATGCATTTCGATATTAAGACACAAATTTTACTCATTATCAAACTTGATGCACACTTGTTAAAATTAACAAAATTGTTCAGTTTAGTTAGTTATTCACTACATAAAGTTTCATTTAAATTATGAACCGAACTAATTTAGACCACCTATGGAAACCTCTGGAAGCACTGGTCGACCTTATCGTTCTGGTATGCAACTTCTCAGCAGTGTGCATTTACTACCACGCATGTGGAAATCGAACCCGCATACTCCTAGACATTGAATTGGCATCAAATGTCCAACATATATCAATCCACTAAGAATTTAGCCGACCAATGCTTCCAGGTTTCCAATAGTCGTCAAACCTAAGTCGATTTATGGTTTCAATGAAATTCAACAATCTTCACAACTCTTTACTGACATAATATTTTATTCGCGTGTAGAAACATCAGATAACAAGGAATTAATTGACTAACATTAAATTATGAAGCTTGATAACTGATTAATTTAAAATTATTATGAATGTTACCGTAAATAATCCTTTCAAAGTGATTGGTTTGGTTCTCACCATTTAAAGCCATCCGTTTTCACATTATAAAAATACTATTAGTTCATTGACTAGCTTGTTTATTATTCTTAAATAAAATTTATATCAGTATGAAATAATGAATTGCATTGTAAACTATCATCGGTTTATTTATTTACTTTTTTTTTGATTTAGCAACAGTGGAATAGAGTGCATAATTATTATCGTGAAATTAAAGCTTTACCTACAGTTGAACAAGAAACAATGAATAATCTCTTACGACAACATTCTCATAATCATTCTAACGATTTCAATGTATCTTGGGCAGTTTTTGAATTGTACACAAAATATGTTAGAAATTATCAAGATATGGTAAGTAGAATTGATTTAATTTATTAACACTGGAAATATTGATTGTAATTAAAAATTTACTATCTGTAATAATTAAAAATAATATATTTGTCCTAACTACCTCAATAAGGAGAAAATTTAAAATGTTCTAACATTTCGTGACTACAGTGTAAGCCACTTGTTCAGAGAATAAATAAATCCAATTAACTCAAGTTTAAATAATATCAAGAGACAATGTAAACTATCCAATAAATAGGTGTGACTAAGTCAATGTCATGTCATTCCAGTCAAGGGGATTAATATGCTTTAAATTTTGCGTTGTTTTTGAGACTATTCGGAGTTCTTCTATTGCACTAAGGGGTTATAGTGAAACTGTGCATTACTAATTCATGATATTTCATTTGAACTATTGCTTGTCAATAAACCGTCTCATTTAACTATATTTTTTAAATTGTAAAGTTGCGCAAAATCCTTAGATTGATCATAGTTAGACATTAACACCGTTGGATGCCGACTCAGTGATCCAGAGGTTAAGCGTTCGTGCGCAAGATGCAAGGCCCTAGTTTCGTATCCTGTGAGTAGCGGGAGTTGTGGATGCGCATTGCTAATAAGCCTTATACCAGGAAGAAACGGCCATTCAGTGCTTCCAGGTTTCTAATGGTGTTCTGACGATGATTTCAATGTAACACAACGATCTCCGAAATTCCATAATAAAAAAAACAGTATTCATAGGAAAATTATTCAATTGTAATATGTTAATTATATGCTTCTGTTGTTTTTGTCTTGGTTATTTCTGTAAAAAAGGATTTAGGACCAGTGGGATATGTTGAATTGAAGTGAATATAATGATCAAAGTGTGATAGATACCTAGATTCAGTGTTTCATTAAGATTTCTTTTAACTAAGTAATCTAAAAATTATTAGTTGATCATGTTCATTTTTCATTTAGTTTTACTATACACCGTTTATATATTATTGGTAATTATTGTTTTGCATTACGGGGTTGTGAAGATTGTTAAGTTACACATTTTTGTGTGCGTTCGCGCACAATGCCGAAGGTCCTGGGTTCGAATCCTGCGGGGTGCAGGAGTCGTGGATGCACACTGCTGATGAGTCCCATACCAGGACGAAACGGCCGTCCAGTGCTTCTAGGTTTCGAATGGTGGTTTAACATTGATCGGTTGGTGGTTTCAAAAATTATTGTTTTCACATGTTTTAAATGTCTGTAATATATCAGCGATAAAATTAAATAGACAGTAAATTATTGACTGATTGATTGAAGAAATGTATTTTTTTTAGGAAGTAAATATATATAATTATAGGAAATCTGAAAGACGAATAATATTATTGTGTATTGTTATAACATTAGTCATATAACTATGATGATGTTTATAGCTACTCACATTGTTTCCATTTTTCATTCAGTATCTAGACTAAGATAATGATGATATTCATTGTAGATTAACGTGTACCATTTAAAGCCAATAGGGACTTTTCAACTGTCTTGTCTTAGTATATGAACCAAAATTGACCTATTATTTACAAAACTTCACTATATCAAAATAATGATCATTAATTTAAACTACTAGCTATCGGAAACAACTATTTTATGCGATATGACCCCATTGATCAACAGTCTTTTTGAAATGAAAGCAAAAATTCAGTATACGCTAAACTTCGAGACCAACAGGTTCGTTTTCGCAAGGGTTGATCATGTACCGACCAAATCGTGATATTACGGTTCCTTGTTGAACAATCAATTAAATGGGACTGATCATTATACATTAAGTTCCTTAACTGTGAGAAAGCATGTGACAAGGTGAATAGGAGAAAATTATAGATGGCTAGTGTAGCAACAGCCTTTGCAGCAATGAACCTCAATATTCACAAGAGAAAAAACAAGATCCTAAAATAAAACAATGAACACCAACCAAATCATATTTAATGGAGAAACTCTGGTAGAGGTGAAAGATTTTACGTACTGAGGCATTATCATTAATAAACCAGGGGGATCTGATGTATCTATGAAAGGATGGGTTGACGAATCAAGGGAAGCACGACTAGAATTGAATAACGTCTAGAATTCAAAACAAATCAATCGAAAACAAAGTCAAAGTTTTTAGTACAAACGTTACGGAGATGTAACTTGGAGAACTATGTTACGCTCGTCTCTAGGTATGCTTAAACTATTCACCTTAGTCTAATAACGAGAACAAAACAATGAACCAGCGTCCAGATAGGCTACTGTGATCCCTTGACCAAATTGTACCAGCAAGAAGTCTTGATATAGCGTAGAAAGCGTATTCTACAAACACCCAGCCAGCACACAATGAATCGAAGCACTTAAATTGCGTTTATTTATACTCTATAGAGACGTCCTTGGGACAGTCACAAAAGTAGTACACTAAAATGACACAGTAACCAATCACAGCCAAGGATTTTTCTGTTGGGAAATGCAATCTCAAGGTCAACTGATCGGCCCATGCAATAAATCCAACGTAAAGATATTTATCAAGCGAGTTCTGGGGATCTAACATCCCCAACAAACTACTAAAACCACGATGTAAAAGGTACATGGACTTATAAACTGTTGTGTACTCAAATCACTCTGAATCCAGTGACTATTAGGAAAAACGGACTGTGACCTAGAACAAACCAGCCTTCAAATGAGAAAGAAATTGAGAATAGACACTAGAGCTGGATAGAACACTTCATAAACCATTTAACTGAATCGCAGGATAAGCCCTAACTTAGAATTCTCAATGCTGGTGTAAAAGAGGTTGGAAATCAGATGCCAACACCGAAATAATGAATTGCACTTAGGAAAAACTGGTGAGGACGATATCTGGTCGGTGGCTTGTGTTCCGTAAAGAGTAACAGGTCTAAGTAAGTTTCTATTCATTGATTGTTTGTCATGAAAATTCTCCTTAATTATACTGATAACTTTTATTGTGTTGTTGGTTTTACGAAAAGCTCATAGCTCATTTACAACAAGATGTCATCAATCGATCATTTAGTAATTATGGTATATCAAAATCAAACCCCTTTGAAAAATCCTTTATGTCTACAAACACAGAATGGAATCCTGTTCAAATTATTCAAATGCTTATTGAAATTAAACGATGTTTAGATAATGTACATACTATTCAAACATCAACTAATGATCAATATCATTATCAACCTCATCATCATCATAATACAACACATCCTAATGTTAATTCATTTTCACCGAATTCTACAATAGCTGGTGATATTTCTGTACCGTATGATTCAGCAACGGCAATTTTTCACTCTTCTGCTGTTGCTGCTGCCGCTTCTGCTTCTGCTACTGCTACTGCTACAACTACAAATATTGATGTTGGTAATTTCTCTCAAACATCATCTGCTCTAAGTCAAACTGCAACTGATCGTTTAGATACACTTTGTTCATATAATACATTAACTACAGAATTTGCTGGTGATGAAACTAGTCGATCTGCACATCATTATTATTATCATCATCATTATTATCATTATCATTCAAATGAAGATACACAAATGAATAACAATGCCACTACTACTAATAATAATACTACTAATAATGATAATAATAATAATGATTCACCAAACAAACTAACTGATTTATCTGCTCATTCTACAGCAATCAGTACAAATGATACTTATGCAGATAGTATTTCCAAGTCGAAAGATCCGTTAACTTAAAAAAAATGCTGTATATCACACTAGGTAACATTGAATACTGAACTCAACTAAATATAGGTAAAAAGTTCTATTTCTATATTTCCTATTCAGATATGAAATCATAGAATTTAATTATGTTGACAAAAAAATTTAAATCAGTATGTATTGTTTTGTCATAAATTTGATTTTGGTTCGTTTACAATTTTCCTCTTAAACACACATTCCAATTATGATTCATTATATTAATAATAATATTATTATTATTTTTGTTTTCATTTTTCAATATTATTTTGCACTGTTTCATTGTTTAACACAAGAAAATGTGAAATCTTTTATAAAACAAATCATGAACTGATTATTCTTCAATTTGTATTTCTTTTTTTACTACTAATCAATTCTAATTGTTTTTTTGGTTTTTTGTTTGTATAAATTTCATTCTTATTTTTTTATTTGTCTTATTCGGTTTTCTTTTTTTGTCATCGACAACTAGTATCGATTAAAAATGAAGATGAATAGATTTTGTCCTACGATGCATTTATTGTTTAAAACTTCTAGTGTTTTTTTTTTGGTTGATCGGATCGTACGTGTAGTACATTAGACGTATTTATTTTCCTTCAGACACAACCAAATATACATATACAACATTTTTGCTCCTGTATATTGTTTTCTTCTCTCTCTCTCTCTCTCTTTATGTTTACAGTTGTATTTATGTGCACTTACCAACAATGTTTTTTTTTGTAGTTGCAGACGATGGTGTTGACTTGTAGTTGTCTATTTTTGTTTTCTTAATTTTCTCTGTGTCATTTTACTATTCTAGACATATCTTTTTCGTTTTTTTTTTAAAAAAAATTCATTTATTTATTTACTATTCCTGGTCAAATCATAACTGCCATTCATTAGTTCTCGCGCTGCTCACCCTATATAATGTTTATATAGTGTTAATAATCTGGATCACGTTGCTTCATACACTATATTTTCTATCTTTTTCTTCATTGTTCTCCATTTTTCTTTTCACAGTAATCATATCATGTCTCTTTTAATAATGAGGGAAATTTTTAAGAGTTCTTATTTTCTTGTTCATTATTCATACTATTACTTTTATTATTATTATTATTATTATTGAAGTAATTATGTTGAAATTAAATCATAAATTGTGTTTTTTCATTTTATCATTACTATTCTCATTTCCTATTGAATAGTAAATAGAAATGTGATTAATTCTATTGTTTGACTTCTTTTTTTCAAATTTGTCAAAATGTCTTTGAAGAGTGTCTAATGTGTGCATTTGGTTTGGTTAGTTATTGATTGTGATCAGTTTGCATGAATCGCATGTTTACATGTTGTATTGTCTAATAACTGATTATTTAAAAACATCACTATGAAATTTTTAAATGTGATGATTATAATTGACCAAATATCTAAACCTAACTATCAGCCATATTACCATTTACTTTGAGATGTTACTCGTATATAGTATGGTGGTGAGATGCTTGAATGCTAATACCTTACTCGGTAAACGGAACGAAGATAAACGATACAGTGACACGATAGGCTATTCTAACCCAGTTGTCCCAGACCCCGCTAACTAGATCAAGAGGTTTTGATAAGGCGTAGAGACTGATTCTACAGGCACCCAGAAAGGTAGAGGTTACTAAGCACTCAACTCAAGCTTATTTATATAATGATAGAAACGCCGTTGGGAGAGCCACGAAATAGCGTACTAAAATAATCCGCGATCCAATGACAGTCAAGGATTTTCCGAGGGGCAAATGTAAGCAAATATAAGCATCCCTGGTGTGAAGACAGGAATTCAAAATTTCAGAGTTAAATTACAAAATTAGAACCTTCTCCGAGTGAGTTCTGGGGATCTAATGTCCCCAAAAGATGGTTGAAAATATTACGTTAATATTCATAATGAAATACATATCGATCCCATTGCATTATTTTAAAGCTGCAATTCTACCATTTGTATCCACATGTAATTAAACTGTTACCTATTTTGTTAAAATATATTATAATGAATTTAGCTCAGATGACTGAAACTGAAATTCAGCGTGTGCAGTAGGAATAATTATAGAGTGTTAGTGTAATCTGAGGAGGAAAGGTGCGCGGTTATTTTGTACAAGGTATTGAGCTATTTTAGTTGCTTAAAAAAACCTACTTTAATGGTTAGGCGTAAAATATGATTTGATTAGAGAGAGATCGATAAGTAACAATGAGTCAGTAGTATAAAAATTTAAAGAGCAATTAAAATGTGGAATGTTTTAGTCAGTACAATGATTAATTGTTCTTGTGGTATTTCATCTTCAAATTCAAGATGAATAGTTAAAATTTTACTAACAAGTTTTTGTCTAGTTTGTCGTAGTCGTTTCTACCATATTTATTGATAGGTACTTATGTAATAGCGATCTCGTTGCAAAGATTTTACACACAGTATTGGTCAATGAAACGTCCTTTTTTTGTGTGAAACATCACTGATATGAAGTTAGTTTATTTGGTAGATGCTATTCCATGTACTATTCAAACAAGTTGACCTTTAATTGTACTAATATCCGAAAATCTCCACCTGGTATCTTGATCAATGCTTGTTTTACAAGAGTGTAGTATGTACCTATCACGTAGTTGCATAACGTAATAGTTATATAATATCATAATGATTATAAAATGATATTGAATAATTTAAAGAAAAAGGATTAGTTAACCGAAACATTCAATTAAATCGGTCCTACATTACGTAATATATAGAAAAAGAATTAACAAAATATTTTGATAAAAAAAGTCAATAACATACAAATTATGTAAGAACCAAGAGACGAATGTGTAAAATCACAAAAACTCAACGAAATCAGAAAAATGTTTAAATATTTTCGAAAAAATAAATTCAACCTAAAACACACTGCTATGTAAGTGGCTAAGGTACCGAGAATGGTTGTACCAACTTCTTTTGAATACAACAATGAGGTTTATGGACATGAATTTCGATAATTTTAGCAATATGCAAAAGGCGAATCTGTAACCTAGGTGGTAAATTTGATGGAATAAAGTAGATGACCTTCGAAGTTTTATTCAAGTCAGTTTGATGTTCCGCATCCACCAACCTTTTTCAATTACTTTATATTACATTACAATCTTAGTGATATTATATGATGATTACGTTACGCGACCGCTAGGTAAGTAGTATTTGATTGTTGGAAATCATATATATATATATATATATATATATAACCATAATGGAAAACTAATTGGGAAAAAGTTCACTTAATTTTTGATCTTCACCAAATAGCAAAATAGGAATTTTCACCATACATAGTTGGTTGGTAAACACTATTTATGTATGACGTTATACCCATTAGTGATTAGTAAGCATGTAATTCCGCTTTTTATTTGTTCTTATATTAGTAGAAAAGGATTATGGAGTTAATTTTCATCAAATTACCAAGTCAGATATTTTAAGTATTTTTTCCAAAGTTGATAAAAATTCGTCTTCTTATAAAGTGTGTACATTTGGCATCTATTTAAAAATGTGTACTGAATTGAAAATAATTACTCATCATTCAAGAATATTTTGACCTTGTTGTACTCACCATTAAAAATACTATTAATGTACATGATAATGATAGAACTATGAATGTCCTACCAATTACTTATAAAACATTCAGTGTCATCATACTGTTAAGTTAATCCAACTTGGAATATATGTCTGCACTGAGATGATGATATATTGATGATTTAGACTGCATAGTTTACTACAGGTAAACATTTAAGTAGTATCATTTCAAGTTTAACATTAATAATGATAAATGATAATGAAGATACCATAACAAAAATCAACAGTAAAACACTTAGAGTAGGTCAAAATAATCATTAGAAGTTGTGAAATTAAAAAGAACTAAATATATGAATACTGACTCCTGTTACCCCTAGTGGAGCATAGACCGCCGACTAGTATTCTCCAACCTGTGCGTTTTTTCTCAGTCCTACCCAATCGCTGTTCATTCTTTGAATGTCTACTTTCAATCCTCGGCGTAATGTGTTGTTTGGCCCTTCCCTTTTGTCTTTGGCCTTGAGGATTCCAAGTTAAGGCTTGCGTTGTGACGGTGTTGGGTAAATATATGAATAAGCAGAGTTTAATTAGGACGAAACAGCTGTCTAGTGCCCCCTTAGTTTTCAATAGCTATTCAATTAAATGATTCTTGTCTTAAGCTTTTTGTTAAAAAAATAATTCTGAGATTTATGATGGATTATTTCAAAATGATTAGCTGAAGTTCTTGTGCAAAGCCATAACCAATAGAGGTCAGTTATTTCGTGAGCAAAATAGTCTTTATCGATTACAGCCGATGATGAATACCACACTGCGTCGTAGGAAATGTTCACCATTATATTCTAATTTCATAATCTAACGGTTAGGCAATCGCCACAGCACCTTGATGTCTCGGGTTCGATTCCTGGGACAGCTATTAGTCTCCAATGTTAAAGATTCTCATACTAAGATGCAACAGCATTCAACCGATCAAATAGAAAACTTGTATCAAAAACTACACAAAGCTTATTACACTTACATTTACACATTTATGTAAGTATTTAATTTTTTTCCTCTAAAATATCAATTTAATTCAGTTATTCTTGTGAATAAGATAAATTAAAACATTAATTAAAGAAGTATTCCCTTCAATTTCAATGTAACCCCCTTTTATATAATAAATATACAAAATAAATGACAATGAATTCTTTATTTTAGTTTTTTCATATAAAACAACTAACAGAAACATTTCAATGAGGTTATTATTAATGAAACTTGAATCAAATATCTAACTCATCATATTTCTTACTTTAAATTAAATTAGATTTGTTTACGTTTTTTTCTCATAATCAAATTATTTTTCGCAGTAGTGATTGTAATAATTATCAAAGAAAATTTTTGTTAATACATAAGTCTATTCTGATTATTATGACTGATTAAATGTTATGTCTTATTTGTTGCGCTTATATCAATGATGAAATACTACAAATGAACTAATTGT